AAGTCCAATATTAATATTAATGCAATTCTAATCTGATCCAATAGGACTTCATTAAAACCTCCCCAACCCTCAAAAAGACTGTAAAGTTGATCTAGATGAACAAATACAAGACAACATTCAAAAAATATTTTTTAAAAAGGAATAATGAAGGTGCATTTAAATACCAGATATTAAAATGTAAAAGTAAAGAAGCTAGTAGTGGCACAGAAATACATGAATAGAAAATAGGAAGAGATTAAGAATATGTATAAATTTAGTTTCATGAAGGTAGAATTTCAAATCTGTTAAGAAAGAATAAACTCAATACATGGTGTCAGGATAACTTAACTGTTATAATAAACAATATTTAACAAACTTAAAGGAAATCCTAAGCATGGCTCCTGAGAGAAAACTATAAAGTAAAAGACTGATATGGCGATATAAAAATATTAATATCATCATCACAGCTACCACTTATTGAGAGCTCACAAAGTCCAGGCAGCAGGCAGCGTAATAAGTGAGTTTTCTTTTCGTGAACTTCTCAATCATTAAAATAACTACATGAGGAAGATACTATTATCCTCTCTTTACACAAAGAGTAACTGAAGCTTAGAAAGGTTAAGTAATTATAACTTATAAATGCTAGGGAAAATCAATATATATGAAAGAGGATTATTACATATGGTCTCTAAAGAGCTCTTATAAAAATAATTAAAAATCAAAATCATCCCTCATCCCTATAGAATTCCAGAAATATTCAAATAAAAGGATTTCTCTAAAAGTTTTTTTTTTTTTTTTTTAAGATCATGCCATTGGAAAACAGATTCATGATATATTAGGATTAGAGTGTGATATGCATTTGGTGATGATCTGAGCAGCAAATGAATGATGTCACCAATGTAACAGAGGAAGGGTGAGGTGATCATGACAGTGCTTGCCATGGCCAAGCTGAAAGACCAGTAATGACTTAGTAATCCATATGCTTTGGCTTATAACATAATTATCAGAATTATGCTCTCTGGAGTTCATATATCTAAACTCTAGAATATTGTTATTGTTAAGAAATTGAGATCCTGATACTACATGTAAATAATCTTCTATCAGGAACAGTACACAAATACCATGGAGTATTAGGTAGAATGTTTACACAGATCTGTGTTTAAGGATGAGGAAAGAACTACAATATACTGCTAAGGGGGAAAAGCATGCGCCAGCATGTAGAAACATCTAAAAGGAAGTTTACCTAAACCTTAGCAACGATTATCTCTGGGTGATAGGATTATTTTATACATTATTAGATTATTTTACTTTTTTTTCCATATTTTCCTGTTTTGGTTGAAATTATAAGTATCACTTTTATGAAATGCAAGATGAAAGCTATAGACATATATATGTAAAATATGGAAATATTTTAAAACATGGTTCTCAAAAAGTACATAAAACTATGCTGTTATATGCCCAAAACTGTAAAAAACAAAATTATCTTAATATGTGTATTAAATATATACATGTACATATATTTTTCTCCAAAAAATATGAATGTGACTATCAAGTGTTTAACTTTGAATGGCTAGCCATATGAATGCTATACACATTCTTTTTGCTTATCTCAAATTTCTGACATTTCTGTGAACTATGTGTTTTTTTCTGAATTAAAAAAAAAAAAAACTTCAGCCAGGTGCAGTGGCTCAGGCCTGTAATCCCAGCACTTTGGGAGACCGAGGTGGGTGGATGACGAGGTCAAGAGATTGAGACCATCCTGGCCAACATGGTGAAACCCTGCCTCTACTAAAAATTCAAAAATTAGCTGGGTGTGGTGACTGGTGCCTACAGTCCCAGCTACTCAGGAGGCTGAAGCAGGAGAGTCGCTTAAACCGGGCAGGTGGAGGCTACAGTGAGTGGAGATCCCACCACTGCACTTCAGTTTGGCAACAGAGTGAGACTCCGTCTCAAAAAACAAACAAACAAAAACTTCAAAATGGGAATGCATAAGACAAATTATATATAGCATAATCTCAAACATATGAAAAAAAATCCATAGGAAAAAATGTTACTGAAGGCCATGTAAAGGCAAATTGAAGAAGCTGGCCCTTCATACTTGATTTATAATTTTCAAACATACTATACACGTCAGGACAGGCCCACCTGTCTTCAGTGCTGTGTCCACATATCCCTCATAGAGCTGCCTCTGTGCAAGTATGAAGAAGTGGTAAGCCTCAGCCCCTCTCCATGCATTATCTGTGAAACGATCTGTTGTAGACAGAACTTCTTCTTCCAGCAAACCAGCCAAGGCAGACGTGGCCTACAAGTAAAGTCAGCCCACACTTTCCGTCAGCACAAACACACACGCAGTACCAACTCCCAAATAGCAACAGTCATTAAAGTATCTAAATGAGCAGATTTTATCATTACAAAACTATGATTACAGACTTTCTTTTTAAAAGATGACTTATTACTCTGCCACCCAAGCTGGAATGCAGTGGCATGGTCATAGCTCACTGTAGTCTCAAACTCATGGGCTCAAGTTCTCCCACCTAAGCCTCCCTAGTCACTGAGATTACAGGCACAAGCCACTGCATCCAAGACAGACTTAATTTTTTATTGTAATTCATAGTTTGTTAAACTGGTATAATTAAACTTTAAAATATAACTGATTACATTTTAAGTTAGTAAGAAATTCATTTACACATTAAAATAATATATCTAGGAAAGTTTTTTAAACTCACTGATTAGAAAGAAGGATTTCCCAGGTAAGAAAAATTTTTTAACAAAAATAAGACACTAAAGCAAAGACTACAGATTAGTATTACAGAAAAACAGTTTCAATATTTCTAAGGAGAAATTTCCAAAATTGAATACTAATCCTAAATCAGTCATTCTTTTTATTCATTTCATTTAAGAAAACAAATGCAGACATGCAAATGAAATGACCTGTCCACAAGAGAAGTTTGATAGTTTCCTTTTTCTTTCTTAAATACTTCTGAGGGTTTAATGCTACTTAACATGCTACCTTACCTCTGAATTTTTTCCTCTAGCTTTTCCTCGCTGGGCATTCTTCATCTGTTCATGGTGTTGCTCTACAAGTAAGGCTGACAGTACATACAGCTTTTTGACACGCAAAGGTTTTGTTCCTTTCTTTGCCTCTTCATCTGCAATCTTTAAACATTTTTTTTAATTGAGGGAAGTTACTTATCTTTATTTGTACAAATAGAATCATTTCCAAAACTAACAAATTTGATTCCCTAAAAAGGGAGGAAAATCAGTAAGAAGGAATATAAATACCACCTATTTAAGATAAATATTTTAAAACTCATATTCTTTTCATTAGTACTTACAAGTATTTAGTTCTTTCCTTAATATTTAGCCCTAGGAGTTGGAACTTAGATCCATCTTAGAAAATAGAGGTGCCGTTAAATAACTAAATTCGAATAAAGAAAGTGCTGATGAAATAGCTGTTATATTCCATAACACAGAGATTTTTTTTTTTTTTTTTTTGAGACGGAGTTTCACTCTTGTTACCCAGGCTGGAGTGCAATGGCGGGATCTCGGCTCACCGCAACCTCCGCCTCCTGGATTCAGGCAATTCTCCTGCCTCAGCCTCCTGAGTAGCTGGGATTACAGGCACGCGCCACCATGCCCAGCTAATGTTTTGTATTTTTAGTAGAGACGGGGTTTCACCCTGTTGACCAGGATGGTCTCGATCTCTTGACCTCGTGATCCACCCGCCTCGGCCTCCCAAAGTGCTGGGATTACAGGCTTCAGCCACCGCGCCCGGCCAACACAGAGATGTTTAAAATAATGTTCCAAATACACAAAGATACAATGGTGTTAACACGATGTATCCTTCAGAAGCTGAAATTTATTTAAATAATTTTGAGATAAATTTTTCCTTTTTCATTAAACCAAATGGGAATAAAATAGAATGTAAAATGTATATACATTAATACTGTACTAATTATCTTCCCTCCAAATAAATATTATATAAAGTGTAATATTTAAAATTTGTACATTTAAAAAGACTCAAAACCCTATTATCAACAAAATTTAATTCCCTATTGTAGAAATTTGTACTTAGTCTCAGCAATTTCTTTAACTCTTTGTTAACCCCATTATTCAACAAACAATTGTGTAGGTATTAGTAAGTTGCTAATATTAATAAACAGCTTTGTAAAGGCAATAAATAATACAAAAATAACATATACAGTAGTAATAAAACCAGAGTGGTTTTGCTGTAAGGAAATGGAGAATGTGCTCTTTCATATATTAAAAAATTGTGACTGGAACAAATCAAATACTCACCAAGATTTTTACATTACCTTAAACATCAGTTTAGCGGCATCAAAAAAGTAATTGGCTTTCCGATAGAGCTCTATGGCATCAAGCGTTTTATTCTTTTCCAGTAAATGAGATGCATACCTAGCTAACAAAGATCCAATTTCTTTCATACTATGATTTTTAGCCAATTCAACAGCTTTGTTCCACTAGGAGAAAAATTACACTATTCAGTCACCCAAGTATTTACAGTCACATATATCATAAAATTCACACAATAAAGCTTTAAGTTTATAAAAAACACTGCTTCAAAATTAAAAACTGGTTTGTTTTAAAAATTGCATTTAAAATCACAGCAACATAAGTTCTATAAGCTAAGCATATGTCAAAATGATGAAATGATCTCTAAGACTCTGATTTGCTTAAGAAATGCATGTGAAAATGAAAGTTTGAAAGTTTACCATCATACTAATCTTGTAATTCTAATTTTGCAAAACTTCAAGCGAGAAAAAGATACACTTGTTTACATTTTATAGTAAAACAAGATATGCAACTTCAGTTGTGAAAATGTCCTATCAGATTTAACATTTAAAAATTATTTTTATAAAGCAAATGGGGTTTTAAAAAATACTTTAAGGAAAATAATAAAAGAATACATTGATAGTCAATAGTTTCTATAGTAACTCTGTATTTTTTGTTTAATTTCAGCTCTTAAAAATATCAAATGTATGCTTTCTATAAAGGAAAAGGAAAATAGATTTGCCAAAATAAATATTGATAAAGTAACTCAATTCCTTCCTCAGGCAATGACCGACCATTAACTGGTCCTTCTTTGGAAACAAAACCCAACCCTAATAAAACGCAGAAAATTATGAAATTACTTCCAGATAAAAACTTACCAGACTAAAAGCACTGGGTTTGTTCATGCTCCCAGACTGAGCTGGTTACGAGTAGGTCACCCCTCATAGTAGCACTTTAAGAGGTAAGTGCAACTTTCTTGGTCCTCAACTAAGAGAATACCTGCCTAGCTTCTTTCATAAAATTCTTGTCAAGCTCTCCCACCCTTACATTGGCAATAATCTTTAAAAGATCACTATGATGACTTTAATTTTGCTTTGACTTAAAAATTCCTAAGACAACAAGCCACACAGACAGTAAGTTTCAGTTCCTACTTGGTTTAGATGTACGCAGGTATCTACCGCTGCCTTTGGTTGACCACATTTCAAAAATGCAGTCACTGCTTGTTCACACATTCCAACTCTGACAAACATTTGTGCTATTTCCTGTACAAACAAAACAATACTATCAGATTTCACAGACCATGGAAATTACTTATATTTTAATTTAATAAAAATCCATAGGGACATATGAGTATTAAACGTTACTGTTAGTTACAGAGTTTTCTGTAAACAGATGCAAGAGCAGAGGATACAAATCTGAACGGATACTAAGGCATCACCTTCTATAAAACCAGAGCTTCATTGGCTCAGGCTGTGGATCTGATTTTTAACCAGGTCCTGAAAACACTGCACTCCTTTCTTCTCTCAGTTCAGTAGCTAGTACACAGAAATGTCAAGCTCCAAAATAAATCCCCCAATAGTGGGTGAAAAAAACCTTCACGTCAATTGGTGGTATACTCAGTGCTAACCATTAACTAGAGACTTAAGGGAAATCTCACAGAGCTGTCAAATACCTCTATAAAGAAATGTCCGAGAGAAGTCTGCCATTAATCAGTTTAAGAAGCTAGACCCAAAACAGAGCTTCCCTGGAAAGTGGTGGCAATGAGGAAGAACCACCACCACCGCCACCACAACAACAACAAATCTTGTTCAGGGGCACTATCCATTTTCAGAAGGTCATTCTTTTCCTTTCAGAATACCTAATTAGCCAGAGGTTTTCCATCCCTAACCCTTCTACAATATTTTTGGAAGTATGAAAGCATATTTTATATTCAACTATCTTTTTTAAAACAACGCTTATATTTTTCTGATTATAAGGGAATACATTCTAATGGTAAAAAAGAATTACAAAACACAAAAAAGTGAAATTACTCATAATCTTACCATTCATAAGAAACCTCTATCAATACTCTGGGGTAATTTCTTAACATCTTTGTCCTATGAATATATATGTATGTGTTTGTGTTATACACAGTCATACAATACATAATTTTGTATCCTGTATTTCCTACTTAAATATTATGTACACCTTCTCATTTTATTAAACATTCCTCTATAACTCAATCTAAAATTTATCATTTTATTATTTGTTATTATAGTTAAAATTACTTAGTATTCACTCAGGAATATTACTTTTCTGGATATCCTACAGCAAAATGTTTTTCGGCTTCATCAGACACATCTAACAGACAGAACAAACAGAGCATACACACTCTTCCCTATACCCAGGGTCCTAAATAATTTTCTTTCCTACTCAAGAAAATCCACAGGATTGAAAATAAAGGTGAGTGAAAATACCATTATTACAGAGATAACTGCTCAAATTCACAATAGGGAAAACTGAATTACCATAATTCTATACTTATTTACTAACTAATGGGCAACATTTTTGAAGTGGAACTCACAATTGATACATGTCCAGACTCTGCAGTTAAGAGCTGCTAGCTCTACAAATATTGCACAGCTCAGTGATTTATATGGTAAACAAATAAAATACAAACATATTTATGGTATTCGACAATTAATTAAGAGGTTCTAGAAGAACATTAGAAAGCAAGGGAACTCTTTTGATTTCTCTTTTAACTTTAAATACTTTATTGTTAATATAACAATAAAAACTGAGCTATCTTTTTAAACTTAAGTTATAGCAAATTCCAAACAATTTCAGATTATTTTGAGGCAAATCCCTACAACATATCATTTCATCTGTAAATATTTCACATATTCAGCTAACATTTAAAAAGCAATTTTATAAATCATAACAGACGACACAAGATTGTGATCATGTTAAAGTAGTAGGAATGTGACTGACTTTTCCCCTCCATTTTCAAGTGTTCTATATTATTTATATATTGCTTTATAATTAAAATAAAAGCATCATTCCATGTCTAAGAAATTATAAAATTACGGATTTTAAATTTTCTTTATTGTGGAATGTGTTTCCTGACTATAACATAAAATTTTATAAAATAAACTAACAATTCCAAAAGCTAAACTTTACAATACCTACTGGAAGTAACTTGTGGTTTTCCGGAAGTGAAATGGCAAGGTTCTCTAATCCGTCATAATCCTCTAACATATAGTAACATTCAGCTAAGCGTTCCTGGTTCCGCCCTTGTACATAATATTGTACAGCATTCAACCTGCAGAAAGAAAAAAGGAAAAACTTTTAAAACTGACATAAGTATATTTCAAAATGAAAAGAATGAAAGCCAATGATTTCTGAAAATAACATACAATAAATAAAAATACTTTTGAAACTTTGTTCAGAAATAAATCATAAAACATCTTAGAATTATAGACTATAGTCTCCAACAGTAGAAAGCTGCCTGGAGCTAAGTACAAGTTTTGTGTTTATACACTCCAAATTTTTATAGTGCTCATCTCACAACTTCACAGGACCTCTGGCTTTCCAAGATGAATCTAGAGCTATCTGAATTTTAGAATTCAAGAAGATGGTCTCTATTTCCCCAGCATTAAGCAGTACTCAGGCGGCTACAAAGTGTTGCATGAATGCTGGAGGTGCTCCAGGTGAGTTACATACCACTTCTGTCGATCGGCAAAGTAGTCTCCAATGGCATTGTTGGCTTGTTCCAGGAGACTGTCATCCGCATCACCAGATCCAGTTTTCAGGAGGTGGAATACTCTAAACCAATCCCCCAGTTTCAGCCGGAGGCCAAGAGCAAGATCCCTACAAACAAAGGCATTCATTCATTCATCTCTTTGACAAATATTTACCAAGAGCCTACTATGTGCTAGATACAGTTCTAGGTGCTCAGACTACAGAGCAGTGGACAATGTGTCTCTCCAAACATTTTAGAAACTTAGCCTGACTAGGTAAGAGGAAATGAGGAGCACCTGGAGGTTATGGCTTGAATGTGTTTCCCCTCCAAAATTCATGTTAAGACTTAATCTCCATTGTGGTAGTATTAAGAGGTAGGGTTTTGGGGAAGTATTATGTCTGCCCTTATGGGCTGATTAATGCCCTTATAAAAGGGTCTCAGGGAGTTTGCCCCCTTTGCCCTTTCACTTTCCACCTTATAAAGGCATAGCATTCAAAGCACCATCTTGGAAGTGAAACAGGGCCTCAACAGACACTAAAACCTGTTGACGCCTTAATCTTAGACTTCCTAGTCTCTAGAACAGTGAGAAAAATATTTCTGTTCTTTATAAATTATCCAGTCTCAGGTATCTTGTTATAGCTGCCCAAATGGACTAAGATACCAGAATAGGGAAACGCAAACAATGTTGTGCCTTTATTTTCCTAGGCTTCCAACTTATTTAGCAAAATTATGATTTAAATAACAATCATTTCTTTTCAGCAATTTCTTAGACATGATCAGGTTTATTTCAAAACAAAGCATAGCGTAAATACATGTGGTTTTTTTTTTTTTTTTTTTTTTTTTTTTTTTGGATGGAGTTTCGCTCTTGTTACCCAGGCTGGAGTGCAATGGCACGATCTCGGCTCACCGCAACCTCCGCCTCCTGGGTTCAGGCAATTCTCCTGCCTCAGCCTCCTGAGTAGCTGGGATTACAGGCACGCGCCACCATGCCCAGCTAATGTTTTGTATTTTTAGTAGAGACGGGGTTTCACCATGTTGACCAGGATGATCTCGATCTCTTGACCTCGTGATCCACCCGCCTCGGCCTCCCAAAGTGCTGGGATTACAGGCTTGAGCCACCGTGCCCGGCCACATGTGGTTTTATATTTCTTTTCAGAACTTAAGTTGTTAGAGATCTCCTGGAAGTATAAATAACATTAATAAAAATGAGATACAATGTTTACAGCTGAAATGAAGTTCAGACAGACTCTCCACCTTGTGGTTCAGTGGCTAAGATTCTCTGCTTTCATAGCTGCTGCCTGGGTTTGATTCCTGGCCAGGGAGACAGGACTTACAGTTCTTTAATTTAAAAGAAGAAATATTTATGATATTCATACATCATTTTATATAAATTAAAAATGAAATATAAAGAACTAAACTCAATCCCTAACTACTTCTGATTTTTATTTTATGCCTCTTGACAACAGAAAATTAAATAATGTCCTAAACAAAGAAAGAAAGAAAGAACTGGAATGATGAGCTATGTCACAAATATAAAAGCTCCCAGTCTCTGTTGTTCTATCATTTTTTCCCACCAAATGAAAAAAAAAAAAAATCTCCCATAGCCATTATTAGACGTAAAAACAGAGAAGAAAACTGCCTCTAGACTATGAAACACAAACTAATGAGGGGCATGTAGAATATCTAGGTTGTAATCCAAACTTAAAATTAATTTCTAAAAGAAACTGTTAATACACCCAATTTATTTATATTCCCCATTTGTAAAAAATAAAATTATGAACCGATTGAGTACTCAGGGATGCCTGTACCTTCGTAACTTACCTTCTGTCCATCTCAAGATACATTCTTTCAGCCTCTTCAAACCTGCCAAAGTAGCCAACAACCTCAGTCTGTTTCATTGACTCACTCAATAGTTTGCCCAAGCGCTTCACAAACTTAATGCCTTGGTAATCTTTGCAGTGCACAAATGCTTGCTCTGCAGTGTGTAGGTCCAGTTTCTGAAGAGCTGCTTCAGCCAGTAGGCGCCTTTATTTTAAAAGAAACAAAAACATAAATATATGTTGCAAATTACTGATAAACTAGTCTTGAATCACAATTCAATTATGATGTCTTTTGTTTCTAGAGAAACACGGTGAAAAGTAACTCATGCAAACATTTTTCAAATAATATTCAGCTTATTTTGAGGACTTCCAAATCTGAAATGAATTTCTATATTTTAAAAAGAAGAGCAAGAATGGAAGTCTATTCCCATTAGGAGGGTAGCAGGGGAGCAGAGACACAGAGCTGGGATTTTAAAAACCTACACCTGACGTCTTGAGAGAGTTTGCTTTTTATAAATACCAAAGTCGGGGGTGTGGATTGTCCTCTATGAATTGAGATGCATCTTCAATTCCAACCTTCTCAATCAGGGCTCGGCTATCTCGCAAAGACCGAATCTCAAAGTTAACTAGGTAATCCTTGTTTGGACGTTCTGGATCCTAAAAGTAAAGATGAAAGCGACAACAACAAAAAATTCAAATACTTGCCTTTAGAGTATGTGTTTCTTTTTTATAATTAAAACCAAAACCATACAAAACAAGAAAAAAAACTGCATCGTAGTATGAGCAAAATAAGGAAGATAAATCCTCATGTTTGGGTCTTTTTAGTTATTTGGAAAACACCCAAAACCCACAAGTAAAGTCCCTCCTGAGGCAATCAGGCGGCCTATAAGGAAAGGGGGACAGAGGAACATGGCGGAAGGGGTCCCTCACAGTTACGCATCCCTGTTTCCCTCTGCTCACATTGGGTTTTCACCTTAAATGGGATAAAATATCTCAAACGCTCAGCACAATGCCTAGCTGTACTATTCACAGTATTCAAGTCATCATCTCAGAAATGACCCAATGCCCTCCTGCAAAATTTTGAACAGGTATGCCATCCTGACTGAAACAGAGCACTCCCAACTCTTTTCTGGCTGCTGAATTACTTATCTATCTCTTCAACTCCTCTACCTGAGGCCAAGAACTGTGTCTTATTGGCTCTTAATTAACAGTTGCTGAATTAATGAATAGATGAACTTTGATTAAATCATTTTACCATTGAGAGTCTTCTTTACCTAAAAAACTTCATAGAATTCAACATAATCATCAGTTAGAGCAACAGGCATTTTCAGACATTCTAGAGCTTCTGGCAATCGGAAATTATGGGCCTTTCTTGAAAAACACTACTAATGATGAAATCCAGCCAACTAAAAGATTAATCAAAATAAAGAACTATGTGCAGAGAAAATGTAGTAAAAAGCCTGGTAATAACTTTGAATTCTTATTTTCAGTTGTTTAGTCTTAATATTTAAATATGTTAAGTCTTTAAATATATTAAGACTAAACAACTGAAAATAAGGATTACTAGACAAAATTAAAATGTTCTAAATCTTGACAATGTAAAAATAACATAGTTACAAAAGGAGAAAGAGAAATGTAAGAATGTTATCTTTTAGAGTGGAAAGACAATACTTTTAAAAATTAAAATATAGTTTAAACTAATAACTTCTTGGTTTTCCATAATTCTTCTCAACTCAGGAAAACAGTATTGTTTGTAGTGGAAAAATATTATCTAAAACTCTAGAATTCCTTTAAACTCACTTTCAGGTTATCTAATTAAATTAACACCAAAAAAGTGGATTGTACAATGGTGCCATTTTTATAAAATTCCTTCTGTTCATCTATCTAACTCTATCAAATCCGTATTTCCAAATATAACTTACAGCTATAAGGAATAATGTTCCGATGTTTAACCGTAGTGACTAAAATATCTGACTGGTGGAATTTAGGGTTTTTCTTTTTAACTTTTTTCAGTACTTTCCTGTACTGCTAGAATTCTATATAATTCTGCCACTTTTTTAAAGCAATAAAGTAGCCACTTTAAAAAACTGATTTAACCAACACTTTCTGAAAACCAACTCTGTATCAGACCCTTGCTAGATGTTAGAGATTCAAGAAGCTCACTGTCTATTAAACCACTAAATATATAAAAACAGACAAGATATTTCAATTACCTGTTTGATTCTACCCACTTATGACTGACTTATGACCGTTTTTTTTAAAGGGCACTGGAAAAACCAAATCTTCAAAAATAAATAATAACAATAATGTCTTCTTTCCCTAAATTTTTTGGGAAAGAAGACAAGCAGAAAAACATCTTCTGGCTGGGCATGGTGGCTCACACCTGTAATCCAAGCATTTTGGGAGGGTAAGGAAAGAGTTTCACTTCAGCCTGAGTGTTCAAGACCAGCCTCGGGCAACATGGCGAAACCCCATCTCTACAAAAAAATACAAAAAATTAGCCAAGCATGGTGACCTGCACCTGGGATCCCAGCTACTCAGGAGGCTGAGGTGGGAGGATCACTTGAGCCTGGGAGGCAGAGGCTACAGTGAGCCACAATGGCACCACTGCACTCCAGCCTGGGCAATAAAGAGAGACCTTGCTAAAAAACAAAAACAAACAAACAAACAAACAAAAAAGACATCTTTCTTCACATGTAAGAAAAAGGAAAAAATATTATCTGGTGGTACTGTATTCAAGTTAAACAGGCAATGAAATAAGTTCATTAGTTTTACAAGTCGTATACCTTAAACAGGGACAATAAAAGTGCTATCCACATAGAAAAAAGTCAAATAGTCAAATCTGGAGGTTACATAATCCTAGGTAATAACAGCCCAGATTCCATTTTTGATGGTTGGCTGCTGACAGCTTTTAAACTTCACCCCTCCCTCTTCCCCTCTGCCTCACATGGGCAAGCTGATGAAAAAGCCCAGATGCTCCTTCCTTTGTCGCCAGTGAGTTTCAAACCACATAAGCCCCTACCCATTAAAATCCTCACCCCAGACCCACGCTCTAACTACTAAACAACAACACCCTCAAGCCAGTCTCCTTTTCCTCTGAAATGCTCTGCAGCTATTTCAGACAGCTTGGGAAGCCCGCGCTTCTCTCTCCTAAAAGCCTCATTATGGAAGATACATTCTTGGTGTGTCTATGGTATCACCAAGCTTTACACCCAAACCAAATTTTGGGTGGGGGCCCACCTGTTGTCACATGGTGATTATAATACAGAAAAATGAAACTGGTTCACAATAAAAGAGCCATAATTTACATATCAAACCCAAATATGAAAACCTATTCCAAATTGCAACTAACTGCTAGAAATTTTAAATCTACAGTCTCAATTCAAAAACTATCTATATTACATAGAAAAAGTTAATGCTTTGGCTAAAATGAAGTTAAAACTTTCTCAGTATACTCTTAAAGAAAAAAAATTCTCAGAGGATGGTCAACGAAGGCCAATGCAGGGGTTCAAAATCATGTCTTGAATTTTTTTTTTAAAAAAAGCATTATTTACAAAATCTGGAAAAAAATGGAAAGGTAGGTCTCTAAAAATATGTTACTGGCCGGGCGCAGTGGCTCACACCTATAATCCCAGGACACTGGGAGACTGAGACAGGCAGATCACCTGAGGTCGGGTGTTCGAGACCAGCCTGACCAACATGGAGAAAACCTGTCTCTACTAAAAATATAAAATTATCTGGGCATGGTGGCACATGCCTGTAATCCCAGCTACTCGGGAGGCTGAGACAGGAGAATCACTTTAACCCGGGAGGCAGAGGTTGCAGTGAGCCAAGATCACACCATTGCACTCCAGCCTGGGCAACAAGAGGAAATTCCATCTCCAAAAAAAAAAAAGAAAGAAAAAAAAAGTTACTCAATATCTTAAGAACCAGAAAACGGCTAAACTCTTAAATATTTCTTTAGTACCTCTTTGTTATTACTGCAAAAACAGTTACAACAATTAGCAATCATTTTTTTTTTAGCTCTCACTTGGCTATACTATAGCATTGTGTGAATTGCTTTTCATATATTGTCTTACATAACAACAATCCTATAAGTATTATTATTATCCATATCTTATAAAGGCAATAACTGAGACTCATACGTTTTTATCATCATTTTACAGGAAAGGAACCCCTGGCTCCACACTGTTAATCAGGCCATACACTGGGGCGAAACCCCATTTTTTTAAAAAAGGATTATTTAAAAATCCTTTTTTAAAGGATTTTTACACAGCCTGGTCCAGAAATACATAATGCCCAGTCATGCTAGCAACAGAAATGTAACTTTTTAGGAATTACCTTTAATAGCTCATCCAAAAGAACAGATTTAATTTCTAAATCCTCAAAATTACAAATATATCCAGAGGTCTGAATGGGTTCCTTTAAAGACAAAAGCAAATGTTATGTTACATTATGCAAAATTTCCTCTCTTTTAACAAATCATGTTTTTAAATTTTATTATCAGAGTTTTCAGGTAAACAGAAGAGAGAATGTCATTAACACCCATACACCCATAACCTAAATAATTAACATTTTGGTAAATATGCTTCATTTAATTTCTTGGCTGAAGTATTGTAAAGTAAATATAGTAAATTATGAACATCATGATATTTCACCCCTAATACTTCAGTACATATCTTTAAAACATAATACTTTTCTCTTACATGGCTACATTACTATGATCACACCTTACATAATTAATATTAATTATCTAATAGCATCTAATATTCAGTTCAATTTTCTCAATAAAAAAGTCACATAGCTTGAAAATTCTAATTCATGCAATTCAATATTAAAATTAATTCTTCATAAAACTGATAAACACTATATTTGTATGTAAGCCCATCTGTCAAAGAAATCCCATACCATACTGAACAGTCTCTCCTCTGTAACATGAGCCAGAATGCATTCCTGATATATTTCCTACATAAGAAGATTTATTTGCCAATATGAAAGTGCATGAGACTGTTATATGTCTGTCTCTTATCCTAGTGTCATACAGGCTTGTTGAAATAAAGAATAGGATATGCATATTATAAAGTAGCTGGCCTAGATCTTCAGTAGAAAAAAATGGTATCAATATTATATAGACAAAAATAAATAAACTGCCGATATACTTAATACCTGTAAGAATACTATAAAGATTAGAATAATGTCTGGTAATAGAAATAGTATCAGACTGCAATTTTTAAAACTATGTGTGTGTATATATATCATAAAGTAGAAAGTAACCAAAATCCAAATGAAATAACATTTCAGATTTATAATTCTGAAAGTTGGTCCTTCACATATAATTCAGAAATTATAATGAAAAGAAGATACCAAAAAGATTAAAAACAAAAGGTTAAAAACAATCGTATTTAGTTTGACTTTAGTATGTTTAAGCATGTGGCTCTAGTATATCTACTATGAGAGTTTAGAGGGTTTTTAAAATGTTTTTCAGGGCAGGCCTGATGGCTCATGCCTTTAATCCCAGCACTTTTTGAGGCTGAGGCAAGAGGATCATTTGAGGCCTAGAGTTTGCGACCAGCCTGGCCAACACAGTGAAACCCCATCTGTAAAAAAAAGTTACAATAAAAAAGTGTTTTTTCTTTTAAAAAGTGCAAATTGTTGAATAAAATAGTCAAGTCATATAAGGAAATTTCATAAAACCCTTTTATTACCTTTAAAAAGGGTTGTATTACATAAAGGTAAATAATATGTTTAAGAGCAAAAAACAAAGAATCAAAACAAAATTTAATTCAAAAAGAAAGCATATGTAGTAAGATATTTCTTACAGAGTATAGGGACCTTTTGCATACCTTGATTATTTCAATACTATATGTAAACCAAATATATTTGTATAAACACACGTATCATTAAATTTTTTTTTTATTTTTGGCTAGACAGTGCAACAAAACAAGATAATCAAAAGATAAATTCATAAAAGATGATCTATGGAAAAAGAAATACTACCAAAACGAAAGGGAGAAAGATGGAGAGAGATATCAAAAAACTAAGAGTTTTAAAAAAAATCTGATTATTAGTACATAGGTAAATATACACATTTATGTAATTCATCTTTTTAATATTCAACTTCTGCTTGGATTAACCAATTTTCTTTAGTTTCCAAAATGCATTAGCTATCCATCTACACACTTCATTTAAATATGAAGTTTCAGACGAGCAGGGTACTCTCACCTAAGCAGTATGCAAGACACTTCTTTTTATCAAAAAAGTATCCAAAGCTTTAATAATCTACACTATACCAAGAAATATTGGCACCCTTATTCAGCACACAAGTCAGAAGGCCTCATAACATTTACAATATAATGAGTATCCGGAAGTACACTTATTTGTCCTACAATTTTAGCATATTGTGACATACTGACATTTGCATATACCTACCTAAGTGAATTTAGGGATTATAGTACCTAATTTTAGCTAACCCTCACAAATTGGACAAGTGGCTTCAAAAGCTTCTTGCGAAGAACTTGTAGATGGAAAGTCATATTGATAATGCAAGCACAAGCAAACAAGGAAAGGCAGAACTGACACCGCTCTTACCCCAGCACCAAACCCTGTATCAGTCACATTACAGTGTGAAAACAATGACAATCCTATCAAGTCTGACCAAAAGTCAGCTAAAAGGTCAAAATCATCAAGAAGAATATTTGAAACATGAGACTTTTATCCACTAAGTTAACAAAACCTTGATCTAAAATGTGCATTATGCTGATATACTAGCTAATGGTAGTTATGAACCATAGCAATTAGCATGACATATAAAAATAAAGTTATGTCATCTGGTAAAATTTATTTTTCTCATTCTTTTAAAATTTCTATTTTGGGGCATGATTCATAATATATTAATATGGCCGGTCATGTAAATAATTTATAAATAAATATGTATATATAAGAGCATACAGGTATATTCAAAAATTTGGAAGCCCCTTGTTTGGAAAATAAGCCAATACACAAAAATGAGAGTCTGGTTGATGAAATTATGAGATATGAAAGAAACATGAATATGAAATTGCAGTGCCAATGAGAAGGAAGAGCCAAGAAAAAGAACAAAAGAGTGCAATCAGTACCTTCAGAGGGTCACTGGAGATGAAAATGATCAAGCAGGAAATATCAACATTAAATATTCATCTCCTAATTCTCGAAGGAAATGTGCTTTATCAGTTAATTAAAACTTTGCACACAGATGGCATCTTTTTCTCTCAAATAATCTGAAGACTTACAACTTAAATAAAGGTACGAATCTAGACTTCTTAACAACACTCAAATAGAGAAAAATATATTATGTTATTAGCTGTCAGACACTAACTTATCTCCTAAATAACAATACAGAATACTATGTCCTGAAGGAACATATTATTAAATACAGCTCAGAAGATCCAGTAAAACAGACAGATCTTCTCTGTTTTGAAGAGATCATGTTCTTACATGATCAGTAAGCAGCTAGAAGAGCAAATGAGCAGAGTAGCTAAACCAGCTGTGACCACACCGAGCCAGTGTCCTCGTGAATGAAAAGAACAGAACAGCATCATTTATAAAGAAATCCAGACAGCTGGAAGGTTGTAAGAAATCCATCTAGCTCTAAATCTAACAGAAATTGAACTACATGCCAAACCAGAAAACAAATTCAAATTAAAAAATAGTCTGTTTTTTAAAAGGCTGTTCTATTAAAACTACTTAAGAAACTCTTTTCACCAGGCAAAGATTTCATTTGGTACCAGGCTGATCATGTGTGCTATATTCACATTACGAGCAGCCAGATATAACAAACATTCTCACTTCTCCAAGCATATGATTTGTGAGTTAGTATGAGTGGGGCTAAGCATAGAAAAAGACTCTTAACATTCAAAAAGTATTCTACTCCCATCCTCAAGGTTATCCTGTGATTACCTGTCAAATTCTCACAATTGTTTTGTGGCAAAAATTAAATTTCCCTTGGACCCTTGAAAGAAGCCCATGCTTACAGGTCAAATGCCGCAGCCCTGAATCTGAACGCCTTTCCTTTGAACCATTTCTCAGGGTCAAAGAATCACAAAGATCCTAAGACTTGTAAAAGCTTTAACAGAGCCTTTGAGGGCACTTTACATCAAGGCATTTGCCAATCTAAAATTCCTGAGTAGGGCTCAAATGAGGAAATGTAAAAATAACTTAGGATATTAAGGGGGCAAACAGTTTACCATTAAATACGTACATTACTCCAGAAGCCCTTTGGCAGCTCAGGGGCCCAAGCATGCAATTCCTTCCCAAGAAGGAAGCTATACATGCAAACAAATGGAAATGAACGATACAAAGCATTTATTAACTTATTCCTTATTATTTACAAGATTAGAGTACAGGAGGAGTACAGAAAATTCCAAATTGAAAATGCATTACTAATTCAAAAGTCATTTAGAAGGTTTATCTTCTTAATGATGTTTTGATTAGGTTACCATTCAACTTATTTTGTATTTCCTAAATACAACAGCTGACAGGTGGCTGGAGTACACTAAGTGACAGGAAAATCCAGAGCATACAAAGGTGGCTTCCTCATACCCAAAAGAGAGACTGACCACTGCCTGTACCTGCATATTTGTAAGTATCGCTGGGTTAAGAAAGAACACAGATTTGTGAGTGGTATGGTAAACATAAATAGAAATAAGACAAAGTAAGCACAGAATAAAGTGAACAAAGAGACAGAAAAGAATGAATGTGTAAGGCAATTTGAAAACTGTATTTTTTTTTATTAGGTTGTTTTAAGAAATTCTGGTAAATAAGACTACTGATTTTCTTAAGTTTGACAAGGAAAAAAAAAGACTAGTGACCATGGTTCCACCTTTTTTTTTTTTTTTTTTTTGAGACGGAGTTTCACTCTTGTTACCCAGGCTGGAGTGCAATGGCGCGATCCCGGCTCACCGCAACCTCCGCCTCCTGGGTTCAGGCAATTCTCCTGCCTCAGCCTCCTGAGTAGCTGGGATTACAGGCATGCGCCACCATGCCCAGCTGATTTTTTGTATTTTTAGTAGAGACGGGGTTTCACCATGTTGACCAGGATGGTCTCGATCTCGTGACCTCGTGATCCACCCGCCTCGGCCTCCCAAAGTGCTGGGATTACAGGCGTGAGCCACCGTGCCCGGCCAGTTCCACCTTTTAAAAAGAACAGATAAATAAATGCCTAGGAAGTACCTTTCAGAGAAAGTGGAGAATATTTAAAAGGTAAATCTTTTCTCACATAAGACCAAATATTTTTTAAATCCACAGAAATGTTTCTATTTATTTTCAGAAATTCATGCAGCTATGTTGGCACTGCTGTTCAACAAACCTCTTAAAAAAAAAAGGGGGGAATCATCCAGGTTTTTATATTTGGCTCATTATTTACAGACTGCTAACACTCATTTCTTGTTTTTACCTCAGGATCCAAGTTTCTGAAAACATACATTCTTGTCTTCTCCATCATTGCAAACAAATCAGGATTATCTTTGGCCCACTTCATATCCCAGACATCTTTTCGTTCCAGTTTTAACAGCTCGCCGACTACGTGCTGTCCTGTACTGTCCGTTACTCGAGCGTCCAAGTCAAAGAAAGTTAGAACTCCTGAGATGTCTATGATAGCAAGACGGCTGAAAATAATGCAGTTAGAGAAAAGGAAAAAACTGTAAAATTACTATCAGCAATCATGAGACTATAATTACCTATGGCCATTCTTCTTCAAAATCCGATTACCAGAAACCTGGAATATAGTAGAAATGGCTTTAATTTTTTTAAATAAATTTGATACAAGATATGGACTACTGTCCATTTTGCTCTCTTCTGAGGAAAATGTATCCAAAGAGATGAAACCAACTAGTCTGAAACATAACATAGCCTCAATGCTTTTAAGCTTTAAGAGTAAAAAATTGTACTAGGACTTTCATATGCCCAATGAAAGACATTTAAGCCAAATGCAGTATAAAATAAAACCATACTAAATTTTAAGGCAAGTTCATAATAGACACACCCATCTTTACATTTATTACATACAAGTCTAACAATCCCAACTGATAATTTCTAAGTCTAACATCTACATGAGCAGAGTTTTCAGACTTACCTAGAGTTGCAATTCAAGGATAACTGGTAGGACCGACAATTAAGGGAGTATTTTTGAATCAAACCAACATTAGGTAGACTGTATCTCTGAATGGTGCCAGATTCACGACCCTATGGAAATTACTTTTGATTACTTAAGCATATGCTTATCATAATAATATTAAACTACAACTATCTCTCTATATGTCTATACATTTAATACCACAGCAAATTCTCAATTCTGATAATGAATCATGTTCTTACTAATTAAACCTTTTTCAAACAGCTGAAAGTATTCTAATTTTTTTCATGTAATGTTCAAAAAAGGAGTCAGAAACCTAGCACTTTGGTAATACACGAATTCTGGTAATACACGAATTCTGACATCACAAGGAAAAAAATCTCAAGTTATTTGTATCTGTTGTCTAGGTTAATATTCAGGGCACATTAAAAGTTAAAACATAAAGTACTTGTTGAGTTAAATTACATATGCATATGAAAAATCAACAGAAGATCATATGAAATAGCTGTAGCCATCCATCTCATACTACTTTTTAGCAAAGAAAAGATGATCTGAATGCAGTGATACCATGAGTATTAATTTAAATATGTTTAAAAAATAAAGCAGCATATAATTTTCTACACAACTCAGGGCAAATCCTAAGGTTGACAGATCAACAGTAAGTACAATGCCATGAGAGAACTGTGGGTTTCAAACCCTTGGCTGCCTCAGGCCATGGCAGTGGGACAAAGTAGAAGTCTCCACACGGCTGATCTTTAACTCTCCTCTTTTTAATCAGAGAACCACTGCTTTTGCAGCATGAGTCTCATGAGGGCTTATCAGAAAGGAGGGAATACTATAGAAATACTAGGCTCTTGACATCCCCCGCCCCATAAAATTAGCTTATGGCTGAGGAATGTAACTAGAACTGGAATATGTATTATTAAGGTTGTGTTTACATAATCCAAATGCAATAACCTCAGCAGGATTACTGTATTAAAGTAAACATTTATTTCTAAAATTAATATTTTCACATCTCAGAGCTCAAGAAAAGACACTATGCCATTGATTCTTTTTGAAAAATTCAACTGAAATTTGCCATAGGCTTCTCTATGTTTTAGTGGCTGGCAAACATGCTACCTCATCATTCTAAGTGTTATGAAAGTAGCTGAGCCAAAGCACTTTCTCCAACATAAAATATCAGGCTACACAAAGGAGGAAACTTTCTAAGACCAACTACCACCATGCAATCTCCCCCACATCCACCAGTCTTCCATAGGGCTCATTCCAGCCAGCATTAGAAACTGTAAGGGTACTCTGTTTTCTCGGCTGGTCATCACTCTACTGCTTTCATAAATAGCTGTTTTTTGCAAACGGTTAATAATCTGTGAAGAAAGCTTTATAACTTTCTTATTTCTTTCACTGAACTTATATTCAGGGTATAGTAAAACTTGGGGTGCCCACAAGATGATACTCAAATCCAGAACCCACCCATTGCTTTACTGTAATTTTTTTTTTTTTTCTTTCAGAGACAGGGTCTTGTTATGTTCCCAGTCTAGTCTCCAACTTCTGGCCTTAAGTGATCCTCCTGCTTCAGCCTCCGAGGAACTGTGATTACAGACATGGGGCACCACATCTGGCTCCTATCATATTTTTATAATTTAAACAATTATTATTCATAAAATAAGTTTTTGAAAAACTTACCACAATCAATATCTTATCTGATGCAGTTATGGCACAAATTGGATCCCTTGTGCCCTAAAATAAATTAATCAATCGTTACTATTCAACAAACATTTATTGAATAATCTGGTACAAAGTAGTATGTAATTCACTAAGCAGTCAATATTTATTAACTTAGCCAACATTTATTTACTGAGCACTTACTATGTGCCAACCAATGAACTAAGCACTAGACATACTCAGATGAAAACTTTACCCTCAGAGATTACTCAAAAGTCTACTGGAGAAGACAGTGAACTAAACACCTCATTTCAGGACAGTATGATAAAAGAAGAGGTAGAAACAGAGGTTATAAGAGCATTTACACCAAGATAGGCAAAAACCTGAGCTCAGGCCTATAAGAGAAACAGACAGCAGAAGGCCCAGCACATATTAAATTGAGGAAATGTAAGAAGGCATGGCACCGCAACAACCTGGACAATTCTCTAGGGCATTACACTTAGTGAGAAAAAGGCAATCTCAAAAGGAGGCATACTATATGATTCTATTCATAAAACATTCTCAAAGTGACAACACTACAGAGATGGAGAACACATTAGTGGTTGCCATGGAGCAAGGATGGGGCTGGAGAGTGGGTGAGAAAATTAAGAATGAGATAAGATCCCTTATGGTGATAAAATTAGGTAATCTACACACACATCTATTAGCACATGTAAAAACTGCTGAAAACTGACTAAGCTCATAGTCTAGTTACAGTACTGCACCAATGTCATTTTCCTGGTTTTGATACTCTACTACAATTATATAAGATGTTACCACTGAAGAAAGCTGAGTGAAGGGACCCTTTTTGCAATTTTCTATTAGCCTACAACCATTTCAAGATAAAATGTTTTTTAATAAACTTTTTTTTAAGCCAGCATGATACATTCAGGAAATTTCAAGTTGTTTGCCACAGCTGGTATCTGAGGAATGCGCTAGGGAAGAGAAGAGGGCCAGGAAGGCGGAGTGGTTGTGGCTATTTCTACTTTATTCTGAAAAATATGGGAACTTACAGTTTATAATTGGGGAGGGGAGGAACTATATGTAATATGATTAGCTTTATATTTTAGAAAGGTTCCAGTGACCAGAAGTATGATAAATAGATTGCCATAGTGCGGAAAAATGAAAGTAAAGAGACTATTCTATACTGTTCAGTATGGTAGCCAGTAGCTTCATGTCACCATTTAAATGTAAACTTCAATTAATGAAAGTGAAATACAATTTAAAATTCAGTTCTTCAGTTGAAATAGCCACATTTTAAGTACTCAGTAGTCACATATGGCTAGTGTCTACCACACTGGATAACAAAGATATACAGTACTTCCATTATCACATGAAGTTCTATTGGGCAGTGCTGGATGAAAAGTATTAAAGTGATCTAGGCAGAAACTAATAACCAATACAGGGATGGAAAGAGGAAAGCCAGTTTGAGAGCAATTTAGGAGACAGAATCAAGAGGACTTGGTGATTTATTAGACATGGGAAGCAAGAGAAAATGAGTTCTCATGATTCTTGCATAGGTGGTGAAGCCATCCACTGATATACAGAATATATATGGAGAAATGAATTGGGAGGGAAGCTGAATTCAGCCTCAGACAGATTAAACTTGGGGTGCTTTTGAGCAGCTCAATGTCTTGCTATCCAGATGGCAAGAAATATTTATTCAGAAATCAAAAAAACTCAACATTGAAACTATACATATTAAAGTCAATGGTATATGGTTAAAGAGTTGGATTTCAATAAGAACACTAAGAAGAGTGTATTAATAGGTTTAAAAAAAAAGTAGATAATTTAGGGTTAGACATTAGGGAATACCACAAAAAGAGATGCATAGATGAACACTTGACAAAGAAGACTGAGATGGAAAGTCAGCTAGAGATAAAGCCAGGAGTGTGGTTTCATGAAAGCCAAGAAGAAAAAGGTGGTCATTAAAAATATTAAATGTAACGTTTAGATCAAATAATATAAAGACAGAAAAAGACCTATCAGACTTGGCAATTCAAAGTCCTCTGGAAACCAGAATGCAATGAAATGCAGATGGAATGAGCAGTAGGAGAAAGATGAATACAGAATAGTCTTTCAAAAACTCAGCTATGAAAGGACAAAGAGAGAAGACAGTAGTTGGAAGAAGACATGTGGCTGACAATGGAAACTTCTGTCATTTTTAAGATGGCATCTAATTTAATTTATGTGAGGGTACAGGGAAAAAGCTGGTTGATGATGAATCAATTTCCTACAAGTTCCCTAATAAAAGCAACTGTTTCTTATTCACCAGTAGATTCCCAGAATCTATTCCAATGTCTCACACATAACAGAAATTCAAAAAATACTTATTGAAAAAAATGGATGGATATGTAGATGACTAGACGAACTCTGGCATGTTCCAGTAGCTACATCACTAGATCTGCTGTCAAAAATATTAAGCTTGAACCTTTGCTTTGTTACTTAATTATTTTATGATCCTGAGTAAATCAGTGAACTTCTCTACCAGTTTTCTAACCTATAAGAGAGAAGGTGACATGCTGCTTGACTTACAGAGTTTTGAGCATCAGATAAGAAATCAGACAACAGTTTTATAAACAATAGGCACTGCTTTAAATACTCTGAGAAAATCATGTCCAAAACTACTGCAATATAAAATTATATTAGTTTGTAAACAAAAGCACATTTTCATAAAGGAACAATTAACTATATTATCTGCAAAATATGGGCACTCACTAATACGCCAGGGGTGACAGACCAATTCATGGTCAACTGATAGATAAAGGGACAGTCAGATGGGAAGGTGTGAGGAGGGGAGGAGGAGTTATGTTTTCTAATATTTTTAGATATTTTGCTTTTCTAAGTAGTATTAGCTACTTATCACCACCTACCACCTTTATTTTAGTTTAAGAGTTTTTAAGATATAGGAAAAGGTTTTCAGAAGAGAAATTTTTTAAAGAATTGCTAAAATAATATCCTATTCACTGGAAACAAATTATTTTTCAGGTTTCAAAACAAAATTACAGTCTTTTCAAATCTACAGATGTTAATATTTTCTGAAAAAATTAAAATCACCTACTTGAATGGCCTTACTGTAATCAAGCACACCATCCATTGATCCAGAAGGGGTATCATCAACATGATAAATTCTGCAAAAAAGATTCAAATTTCAAAGAAAGTTTCAGTATAGTTTATACTATTTCATAATCCCTAGAATAAATGATTGGATGACATCAATTAATACTGTTATTTAATATAAAAATTCTGATTATTTTAGAGTTCTCAACATAGTTAAATCTTAATAAAGATAAAAACTATCTACCAGGTATTTACTAGTTATATGAATGATATGTTCCTGAAAGCTGAACCAAAAACATATCTGAACATCGAATCATATGTTCCTGATGAATTTCTTTAAGCCCAGAGAGATATTTTACCTTACTCTCCATCTAAACGTCAGTGAAGAATAACATCTAATTCACTAACTTTCTCTGTTGTTTCTCTGTAATTTCTCTTCTATCATGTGTTCAATAAAAGTAAAACACGTGGATTTAGGAGGTTTTAATTAATGGGACTTCTGCTCTAAAGTAAAGAAGTCTTTCCTGCCCTTTCCTGTATTGGGAAGAGGTATCACTTTTGGACATCCAATATCTCTCTAGTACCTGTCCCTGTATTATTATTTTTTAAATAAATTTAAGGAGTACAAAAGTACAGTTCTGTTATATGGATACATTGAGTAGTGGTGATATCTGCGCTTTTAGTGCAACCATGACCCAAGTGTACACATTAATTTCTCATTCCTTACTCCCCACTTCCTTCCCTCCCTTCTGAGTCTCCAGTGTCTATTATTTCACACTGTATGTTTATGTGTACACATTAGTTACCTTTCACTGGTAACCTTTGGCAAATAATTTAAGCTCGTGTGTCTGTTTCTTCTTTGCAAAACAAGAATAATGAGCACTGATTAGATTTATCAAAGTGTCTGGTACATAAGAAGTACCCAGTAAATATTAGCTGTTATCACCATCATCAACTGTACTTTAGAGATGAGGAAACTGAATTCTAGGGGGGAACCTGCCCAAAGTTATTCAAACTAGTACACATATTCCAGATAGAAATACAAGGAAATGCTGCCTTGTTGATTTAAACAAAAGCCAGAATCTCTTAAGCAGCTACAAGAAGACACTCTGGAGAGGCTAAACTTTTTGCCCCAACTTTGTCCTAAGATCTACCTGCCCCCACAAGATTGCAGGCCTCTGCTCATTATTGCTGCCATGGTAAGTTCTACTAGCATGAGAACTACCTCATGCTGTCCTCAAAGAGGCCAAAGATTCTTTACATTTGGTCTTCCAGCACCACTGAGAACACAAGATATAACATTTTTCAATGTTTTTTTCCTGCCTCCACCCAAAATACTTTTACTGGGGAACCATGTCCTATCTTAGTATATGAGTGAATCTTAAAGGGAAGGCAAGGGGAGTCTGCATTAAGATCTCAAGGGTGTGAGGGAGGATAAAGATTTGAAAAAGTAACCTAGCATTTCTGTCATGACTCTTCCACTCACTTCTGCCAACACAGCTATGTCCCCATTAAGAATCCTTAGGTTAAAACATTCAACAAAAGGCTTTACTTACAGGCTTAGAGTAACAACAGAAGAACAGCAAACATGGGCTACCACTAATGGAGACAACATAACTTACAGCATCTCTTTGAGACTTACTGTGGGGAATCCCTCTATTCTGGCTCCTAACCTCTCTATATGGCAGAGCCCTTTTTACCCCACTTACTAGAGGTAAAGTAATTCCAACTCCAGACTCCTTGGAATCCAGAGCAAGAAGCAGCAGCTAAGTCCCCCGTTCACCCCACCTAAAGACTTCTTCCATATGTGTGCCTGAAGGCCTGCCTTTCTTCTAGTCAGTGATATTAGAATCATACCCACCCTCTTGGGAAGACCTATACCACTAAGGTATAGGAATAAAGCCTTAGTTAGATCCTTGGCTCTCAAGTGAATAATCATATTTTAGTATAGCATATTAACCCTAATCTAGTGGGAAGGCTGAGTGAGGACAGCCATTTCCTAATAAAAACACAGCCTCCCAATCTTTATCTCTAAGGGTTTTTTAAATTACGCCATGCTACCTCTCTTTTATTTTAATAAATTTAAACAGATAAATTTTAAAGACAAATTAATTGAAAACAGCCTTTCTACTAATCAAGACACTTTACAGTTACCAAGCACGACAATTTATGATTACTATGTTTGACTTAAATATGATATGGTTGAGTTACTAAAAAGTATGTATCAAAGGACATACCTTTCTCTCCCTTCTTTTCGAGACCGTGTGATCTGATTAATTTCCACTGCCGTGAGCTTCTTTGCCACGTGATATTGCCAAGTATAAAATGCTTCTTTCGAGGCTGCTATCACATGCGTTTTGGTCATTGCAACAAATAGTGGTACTGTTAAAAATAACATTAAGATAATTTATAGTTATACAGAATCACAAAATGTTTGTGCCGCAAAGGACTTTGGTAATCACTGAGTTCAACCCCTCATTTTATAGACAATAAACCCCCATGTAGTCTCAAAATACCCACATGCTGTCTCTGAAATCAGAAAAGAACCAAAAGCTTGTAGAATCATACAAAAATACTAACTCGAAATGGATCAAAGACTCAAATTCAAGGGCTAAAGCCATAAACACTTAAAAGAAAACTTGGGAGTACATCTTTGTGACCTTTGGTCAGGCAATAATTGCCTTTTTAGATATGACATCAAAAACACAGATGACAAAAGAAAAATTGGGTAAGTTGGACTTCATCAAAATTAAAAACATTTGTGATTCAAAGGACACTATCAAGAAAGTAAAAAGACAACCCACAGGATGGGATAAAATATCTGCAAATCATGTATCTGAGAAAAAATTATATCTAGAAAATATAAAGAACTCTTACAACTCAATAATAATGACTAATAGCCCAATTTAAAAGTCAGCAATGGATATGAATAGACATTTCTACAATGAAGATATACAAATGGCCAATAAGCATATGAAAAAGATGGTCGATATCATCAGTTATCAGGGAAGTGCAAATCAAAACCACAATGAGATGCCACCTTACCCCCACTAGGATGGCTAGAATCAAACAGTCAGACAATAACAAGTGTTGACAAGGATTTGGAGAAATCTGGGAATATAATATGCTGTGTCCACCTTGTAAAACATTTCAGCAACTCCTCAAAATGTTAAATATAGTTACCATATGCCTCAGCAATTCCACTCCTAGGTATATGCCCAAGAGAAATAAAAACATGTCCACACAAAAACTCCAATGCTGATGTTTATAACAACATTATTTATCATAATCAAAAGTAGAAAGAACCCAAACATACATTAATTGAAAAATGGAAAAACAAAATCCCACTTCTTTCTCCTTCCCATGTTCACTACCAATTATTACTTGGTTCAGGCCTTTATCCTTTCTTCTCAACTCACATCTTATATTTCTACTCCAGTTTAGAAAAGAAAAATCTCCCAAGTCCCTCCCTAAAGAATATGTTCTTCTAAACAAATACTTTTTATTATTTCTAATATGCATTGGAAATATATTCTCCTAAACAAATAATTATTTTTATCTGTTCCATTTCTTAGAGAACATTTAATTGAGCTCCTACTGTACTGTATATCCTTTTATGAAGTAGAGTCTCATCGAATCCATCTTATGGATAAATAAACAGAGGTTTAAAAAAGTAAAACAACTTGCCCAAGGTCAAAAAACTCAAAATAAACAACATAAAATTAAACATTCATACAAAATACATAAAAGCAAAAAACTCCTTCATAAACAGATTATACTACCTGTTTTCTAAATTCATGAACAAACAAAACAGTGTAAAACTTAATTTTTCTATTATAAATGCTATGCAGTGTAATCATTAATATGGCCAGAATAAACAAATAACGTTATTAGGAGGTATCATTTATAGAGTTCTTGCCATAGTGCAGAGGAGATTTGAGGCAATAAGAGACTTAGAAACTAATGGAGAATTAGAAACTAGTCTGACGGTATGATGTTAATTAAGTGTGTTAATAACTCGGGGATTCAAATTCAATAATTTTTATATGCTAAATAACTCAGTCCAACTGAGCAATTTTTGTTTTTACTTTTTTCACTGTAACCATCAAGATTTTTTCATTCAAAATGTGTACTATTATCAACCTCTGGAGGGAGCTCAAAGCCTTTCTTGGAAGGAACACTTCGCTGATAGCCAGGCATGGAGAATGACAGCACAGCCTCCAGGGTGCGCTCCTGCCAGGTCAGGCTTCGCTCTTCTTTCCCTAACCTAGTCTTCACTAAATCTTAAGATATTTGTTAAATGTTTAGTAAATTCCACCATAGATACTGTAATTTTGGTAACTATTATGCCCTTAATGTGATTTGAAGCAAGTTTGCAAATCTTAACTGCTTTTTTATTATTATGCTTTAAGTTCTGGGGTACATGTGAAGAACATGCAGGTTTGTTACATAGGTATACCTTAACTGCTTTCTAATAAAATATTATTTTTTCCTAAGTATATAAAATATTCTTCCAACCAATGTTTATCTACAATTATAAATTACACTCATGTTCCTTTCTTTTTGATAGATCCCAAATACTCACAAGAGTTTATCATTAGCCTGATTACTTCAAAATTATAATGTTAGTGGTTCAAGGTAAGAGTCAGACTTCTTGGATTCAAATGACAGGCACTTGCTAATTCCGTGGCCTTGAATAAATTATTTGTTCTCTGTGAACCTCAGATTACTTACTGTAAGTTGAGGACACTAACAATGCCAACCCTACAGACCTGTTTTAAAGTTTAAGAGAGATAACAAATATAAAGCATAGCACAGTGACTGGCATAGAGTAAATGCTTAGTAACAATTTAAAAGACAGTATTTACTGAATTTTTAAAATATATGACAGGCAGTATTCTAAATACATAACATATATTAATTCACAACTGCCCTATAAGGTAGGTATTATTATCCCAATTTAGCAGATACAGAAACTGAGGCATGTGAATTTGCCCGTATCACACAGCTAGAAAGCAGCAGAGCTGGACACAAACCTGGTAATCTGGCTCCAGAAACTGCTCTTAACTACTAGAGCAGACTGACACTCTAAGGATTAAGAAGTATTAGACATGGTTGCTATTATTTTTACTTTTATCATCTATATAGGTTTTTATAATAAAACCATATATAAATTCTCAGTTACTACAAAAAAGACAAATATATCTGAAAAATGTGTTCTTTTGAATCAGTAAGGTGGTAATTTCAGCAAATTCATATAGGTAGATAATCCTATCTATATATATTTTGCTGGATCTTTATTAAGATTCATTCCATCCAGACTAAGCTTCTAGGAAAAGCAAAACAAAATTTTAATAGATAGAATGTTTTAGGAAAAGAACACGGCCAAGATGAAAGCCCTCTATGCCCTTTTCAACTATTCAATACTTGAAAGAAAAAAAAATAGAAAGAAAAGAAAGGTTACTGGAATTTTTTTTTTTTTTTTTTTTTTTTTGAGTCGGAGTCTCACTGTGTCACCCAGGCTGGAGTGCAGTGGCACAATCTTGGCTCACTGCAACCTCTGCCTCCTGGGTTCAAGCAATTCTCCCACCACAGCCTCCTGAGTAGCTGGGACTACAGATGCATGCCACCATACCCAGCTAATTTTTGTATTTTTAGTAGAAGTGGGGTTTTGCCATTTTGGCCAGGCTGGTCTTGAACTTCTGACCTCAGGTAATCTATGCACCTCAGCCTTCCAAAGTGCTGGAATTACAGGTATGAGCCACCATACCCAGCTTGGAAAAAACATTTTTTAAGAAAATAATTATGCTTTCATTAACCGAACTTTGTAATGCTAATAGGCAGTCATTACTAGCCAAGCCAGGATGTAAAATAATTTAAAACAATCTTGGAATTCACATATAAATAAAACCTGCTTGTAATATTTTAATGCTAAGGCCTGCAATAAATGCCTACATCTGTAATGTTCACCCACTTTCCCATTTATTCATTTCACAGCCCTTTCAAGTGCTGCTAAACTGAAATTTCACTGAAATGTTTTCATCAAATTAACTTTTTCTGGAATATATGGAAAGCCTAGTGCACATGTTAGATACCATCATTAGAAAGCTGCTCCCACTAAAATGGCTGCAGCATAGGCAAACTGAGACTTGATGGCTACTTTCCATGCCTTCATTCGTCTGAAAATGCCATTTTCTTTCCTTAAAATATCACCTAAAGAAATACTTATCTTTCAAAACTCAGCTCAGATGAAACCTTCTCTAAGTAGAAAGGTGTTCCTGACATCCTTAAGTACCAATATCCATTTACCTAGTACCTAGAGCAATGCCGAGTACGCAGTAGGGAAGCAATAAATCACTGTTCAGTGGATGAACTAGGTTTCAATTATTTGTTTAGAAACCCCACGGAAAATGTCATAATGAATTTATCATTCCCAGTGACAAGTACAGTACCTGAAACAGTATATATTCATTGACAGTTTGCTAAATAAATGAATCATCATTTTTTACATGATAGAAAATAAATAATTTCCATACATTCAATAAACATTTATTACGGGCCAAGCAGTGTTACGTCATGGGGATACAGAAGTTAATTTGACATAAATCTTTAAGAAGCTCAAAGTCTAGTGGGGAAGACAGATAAGAAAATTAAGCACAGTGGAGGGTAAGAAGTATTTTGGATGGAAGTACACCAAAGGTATTACGAGTGCTCAACAAAAGAGCGCCAAAAAAGGATACCTAACTCACGTGTAGAGCACAACAGAGCCCCATAAACTACACTTCCATAATAATCCATAAAGTTCTTTTTTAAAGCTTCTACAGAAATTGTAAAGAGGAAGAGTAGGTAGCAAAACAAAAATAATAAATTCTAGAACAGTGTCACTCATATAATTTTTTTGTTTTAGCCTCCAGTCCTCATAAAAATTTGACATAGAAACTTTAAGAAGGAATTTTACAGGATATGTATGAAACAAAAATGTTGAGTCTTTGGCTGTGTTCGCTGCAGGCCAATGAAAGAACTGTTTGTTAAAATCTCAGCCAGCGAGACTACAAAAAAAAATTTTTGAGACTCCAAAATACAAATAAACATGCCCTCAAGTATTTGCCATTTTATGAAGAGGAAGGATTTACATTTAGCTTTGTTTTTAAAAACAGTCTACTTGTGATAAAAATTATTTTGAGATTAACCCTATCACCATTATGATTCTATGTTAAAACTTTACATATTAAAAGAAAAAGCATATCATCTGAAGACTGACAAAATTTACCTCTTAAAGACTGTTATGCTTCTAATAAACAAGAGATATTTATGTGATGAGAGTTTACAGTAATTCTAAGTTTTTTTAACAAGGAACACTAATGTATATATATGTGCATATAAACATATACATATATAAAACATATAAACATACCTATGTAACAATGAATGTTAAGACATGAAGTTGAAATGTGTCAATATATCTAAGTGAGTAAGTTACCAAGACCCTAGGCAATAGAGCATAAAGTCTTTGAGGTCATTATTTCTCATATTTGCTTTCATCACCCAAAGAGCTTAGCAAAATGCAAACACTCAAAAGGCAACAGACATTAATATTTAATTCCTTAGACTAAATGTCCAATCTGGAAAAAAAAAAGGACTAGTTCAGGTTCTCAGGGTCAGCAAATAATGCAATGGGTTTTTAATTTCTTAGATTTAATAATTTTTGCAATACTATATCCAATATACTACCATACACATTAAAAGAAAATCATTACTTTTAGAAGTTACAGTGAAATGGCAACAAAATACTTGTTAATAATTTTTAATAATCTACTTAGAATAAGATTTGGAATTTTTAATGGGTTACTTTCATAGTTATTGGGTACAGGGAATGGTAAATCTAAAGTAACAAATGTCATTTGAAAACAAAAAGTCAGGAATTTTTTAAACTGTCCTTATTAATACTAATTTCATTAGAAAAATCTGGAAAGGGCAAACTCACTTTTACAAGCAGCTAAAGTGTTTTTATGGAAGAGAGGTATTTACAAGCAGTTTATTAATAATAAAAGTGGTTTAATGGTAAAATTCTTTCTATAATCCTCAGTTTATTACATACTAATCATTACACTGCATACCAATTCCTACACAATTATATTTCCCATTTAAAGCAAATGATGGTACTATAGCAGTTGTGAAATTATAGTGGATTTTAGATAGAGTAACTTTGTAACTTATTGTGTTAACCAGGATGGTTTTTAGAGTAAAATGGTGTATTAAGAATTCTACCATGGTAACAGATATAAACTAGTACTGTATCCGACAAAGTAGGAAGTATGGTCATCCTCCTTTTATAAAACACCATTCTAATTAATAATACCAATGTTAGGTTTTTAAATTCGTGCTACAAATAAAACCTCATTGGGAAAGAAATAAATATTAATATTTTCTTACCAATATCAATGTATTTGGGATCCAAGGGTGTACCAATAGAATTACAAAGAACTAGTACAAACTGTGAACAAATAAAACAAAAAGTATCAGAATTCCTGATTACAAATAATAAAGAAAATATGCTTAATATATATCATGCTTATCTCTTTTTCAAGTATTGCTAACTAAAAAACAACGAAATTGTTAGGTACAAAAGTAGCGGACAAAAAGAAAGACAATTTACGGCATTAAATGTAAAGAAAGATAAATTAATACTAAACCAAGGCTGGTTTCTCAACGTAATGGAACACTGTGGTTTAAACACAGTCCTCTGGCTTCTTTTCATCATTTATACAAGGGGTCTTCAAAAAGTTTATGGAAAATGTGTATTATGAAAAAGTTATGAATGGATTTAAAATTTTTGCATCAAAATAAATGTGTACTAACTTGTTAAAAGATGTCTGAACAAGATCTAGTTTGAAGCACTAAGAAGGAGATGGCAGCAGTTTGAACAAAAAGCCCTGTCAAAGCGATACTAATTCTGCTAAAATTAAAGCAAGAAAAACATCAAATTTATGGTGCAGTTTGGGTAGAAGAATGGTGAAATCATCAATGCTTTATGAAAAGTTTATGGAGACAATGCCCCAAAGAAATCAGCAGTTTACAAATAGACAACTCATTTTAAGAAGGAACAAGACAAAGTAAAGATGAAACCTGCAACAGCAAGCCATCCATGTCAATTTGCAAGGAAAAAATTAATCTCATCTTGTTTCTGCCCTAATTGAAAAGGACTAACAATTAACGGCAGAAACAATGCTCAACACCATACACATCTCAACTGGTTCAACTCAGACAATTCTGACTGAAAATTTTAAGTTAAGCCAACTTTCCACTCAATGGGTGTCAAATCCATTGCACCCAGATCAGCCACACACAGAAGCAGAGCAGTCAACGGAAATTTCAAATGGGGGAATCAAAAACCTGAGGCATTTCTTCAAAAACTGCAACAGGAGATGAAACATGGCTTTACCTGTATGATCCTGAATGCAAAGCACAACCAAAGCAATGGTTACCAAGTGGTGGAAGTGGTCCAGTCAAAGCAAAAGCAGACTGGCCAAGAGCAAATGTCAGGGTGACAGTTTTGGGGGATGCTCAAGGCATTTTGTTTGTTGACTTTCTGGAGGGCCAAAGGACAATAACATCCACTAATTATGAGAATGTCTTGAGAAAGTTAGCCAAAGCTTTGTTAGAAAAATGCCTGGGAAAACTTCACCAGAGTGTCTCTCCACCATGACAATGCTCCTGCTCATTCCAGTCATCAAACAAAGGCAATTTTGCAAGAGTTTCAATGGGAAATCATTAGGCACCTACTTTACAGTCCTGATTTGGTTCCAGCTTTCCTTTTGTTTCCTAATCTTAAAAAATCCTTAAAGGGTACCCATTTTTCCTTAGTTAATAATGTAAATGCATTGATATGGTTAAATTCCTAAGATGCTCAGCTCTTGGGGATGGACTAAATGTCTGGTTTCATTGATTACAAAAATGTCTTGATCTTGATGGAGCTTACGTTGAAATAAAGTTTCTGTTTTTATTTTCATCTCCTAAGTCCATTTTTCCATGAACCTTCTGAAGTCCCCTCATATTTCTAAAGTTTCTGATCAGCTATAACATCAAAACTCATTTTTATCCTATGATCAGCTATGTAAGAGCTAATTTCATTTGTTACCGTTGCACCAAAAGTCTCCATCTCGTTCTCCTCCTTTGAAGCAACATATAAATGACATGAGAAATTCAGAAAAATTCAGTTAATTAAAAAAAGACATGATCCAACCTAATGAAAATGGCTTATATACAAATAATCATCCATGATCAATATTAGGAAAATAAGCATAATGCATGTTTTACATTGCATTGTTCTAAAGTGATCATTTCATTTTTCTTACTGTTTCTGTATCTTGTACTAACAATACTATTCTACTTAGTTATACATGCTAGTAGTTTCAAAAATCAAATAGAACCACAAGGCTTCTTACTAAAAAATGGCAGTTCCCCCTAAGTTCCCATTCCTGCTCCCTTTAACAGATCCTTCCACAAATCTAAGTAACGTGTTTATACTGCTACTTGTTTTATTTCAATTTAGTGTATTAGCTATTGTCTCCCTCTACAAACGAAAAGTGTTTAGCTTTCTCTCATTCATTTTTCCCACCCACCCCTACCACACAGGGGCACATTTCCATCCATTTCTCTTTCTTTTTTTTTTTTTTTTTTTGAGACGGAGTTTCGCTCTTGTCACCCAGGCTGCAGTGCTCGGCTCACCGCAACCTCCGCCTCCTGGGTTCAGGCAATTCTCCTGCCTCAGCCTCCTCAGTAGCTGGGATTACAGGCACGCGCCACCATGCCCAGCTAATGTTTTGTATTTTTAGTAGAGACGGGGTTTCACCATGTTGACCAGGATGGTCTCGATCTCTTGACCTCGTGATCCACCCACCTCAGCCTCCCAAAGTGCTGGGATTACAGGCTTGAGCCACCGCGCCCGGCCCTCTCTTTCTATTTTTAATACAATTTTGTCAGAACAGAACTTAGGGTTGAGTATGTTTATTATACCTCAATTAAAAGGTTTTTAATTTAAAAAAAAAAGGTGATTACATAATTTTGACTATATAAATGCGATTCATGATTCAGCCATCAAGTATATCATGATTTATTTTCTTTTCAAGCATATTCTGCTTTCTCTGTAGTCGATAATTGTGTATTTTCTCTCTGCTTAGTCATCTATGGGCTTATTACTAACACAAATCCCCAATTATCCTTGAATTATGTGTATCTTGCTGCAAGGGCTCAAATATATCAGGTAGTCTATTAATGTCATCCCCTTGAAGTTCTCTTGGAGCCTTCTGACCTTCTCTCATCTGACTCACTGGACACACTGCGCCACGGTCAGCTGGTACGCTCTTCCCCATCGGGGTCCCACTCTCCTGTTTATTCTGCTTTCTTGGTTTATTCCTCATTTTGTTAGACTATTTCATGAAGTTACTTCCTAAGATAGGGAAGCTTGGAAGGGAAATTTTTAGTGACTTACACATGTAATAATGTTTGTTTTCTTACCCTCTTATTTATTTATTTATTTATTGAGACAGAGTCTTGCTCTGTCGCCCAGGCTGGAGTGCAGTGGCGCATCTCAGCTCACTGCAACCTCTGCCTCCAGGGTTAGAGTGATTCTCCTGCCCCAGCCTCCCAAGTAGCTGGGATTACAAGCATCTGCCACCATACCTGGCTAATTTTTGTATTTTTAGCAGAGACAGAGTTTTGCCATGTTGGCCATGCTAGTCTCAAACTCCTGACCTCAGGTGATCTGCACATCTTGGCCTCCCAAAGTGCTGGAATATCCTCATATCTAATTAGCAGCTGACTTAAGCTATGGAATTCTAAATGGAAAACCATTTTCCCTCCAAATTTTGAGGCAATTTTCCAAAGCACTGCTGTTGACAAATAGAATACTACTTATGATCCCTGATGTTATGAAATCTATTTTTCCTCTCTAAAACTTGTAAAACTGTTTTCTCCCCAATGTTCTGAAATTCCACAGTGATGTGTCTTAATGTGGAAATATTTTTATTCAATGAACTAGGCACTTCCAATCCAGGCCTTCAAGGAAATTTTTCTGGAAGTTTTTTCATATTTATTCCCCTATATTTTGTCTGTTCACTCTTTTTAGAAATATTATTGAAATGCTGGCTGTGTGCAGTGGCTCACACCTGTAATCCCAGCGTATTGGGAGGCTGAGGCAGGCAGATCACGAGGTCAAGAGATCAAGACCATCCCGGTCAACATGGTGAAATCCCATCTCTATTAAAAAACACAAAAATTAGCTAGGCGTGGTGGCGCGCGCCTGTAGTCCCAGCTACTCAAGAGGCTGAGGCAGGAGAATTGCGTGAACCCGGGAGGTGGAGATTGCAGTGAGCCAAGATCATGCCACTGCACTCCAGCCTGGCACCTGGCAGCAGAGCAAGACTCTGTCTCAAAAAAAAAAAAAAAAAAAAGAAAGAAAGAAAGAAATGCTAAGCTTCCCTTACTGGTCCTCTAATTTTATCTTTTCACTCTATTTTGCATTTCCTTGTCCTTATGCTTCACTTTACAGGTGTTTTCCTTCATTTTATCTTCTAATCCTCCAGCCAGTTTTCATTGTGGTCATCATATTTTTCATTTTTAAAAACTTCCTCTTCTATAGTATCCTTTTCTTATTTTTGGATGTAGTATCTCTTAACTCTCTGAAAGCAATATTGATGGTTCTTTAGAAATAATGTTTTTTAGAGGTGTCCTTTCTGCATAGTCTCTGCTTCTTCCAAGTTCTTTTCTACTTGTGTTTAGATGCCTTTCTCAAATGTCTGGCAACCGCATCTAACTGCTTATATTTAAGAGTCAGACACTGAAAGCAGTTTGGAATAGAGTTGTCTATGAGTGAGTCTCACTGACTGTCGTCTTTACTGTAAGGTGATGGGCAGGGCTACTTCCCTGGGGGCTCCCAATCTCAGTATCTTTAGAGGGCTTTTCTCTTGAACAGGTGGAATTCTCCTGAGACTTTCAAACTCCCACCTCAAAGCTCAATGCTTGGCTGCCAGTGTTCTGGGAACCAAGTGGGAAAAGAAGACTGGTGTAATGTTGAGTAGTAAACTTTTAACATTAATTGTCCTATTTTCAGCAGAGATCCCCCACTCTCAGCTCTGCTTGATGCTCTTCAGTGCAGCGACTCTTTGATCCTCTCTGGAGAGTAAACCCCAGTCGTTGTAGGTGGCGGAAGGGCAGCTGCCTATGGACTCAGTATAGGGGAGTGGGATCTCCTTCTTCCTAGGCTTTTTAAAAAAAAGTTTTCTCTTTTCTGCATAATCACTGGTACTTCCAAATTGCTTTTATGTTTGTTTCTTTCTTCCACCAGGTACCCCCAAGTCCTGTGGCTCTTGGGATTCCATGATATAAGCCAGTTGCCTCTGTTTTCTCCCTGAATGGCTTATGATTCAGCTTTCTTAGGTCTGCTAAGGTAATTACCAGTAATCCACCTACTCTCTCATCTACAAAATTTTGCTGCCACTTCCTTTCCCTTTCTGGTCCCTATGGGCTTATGACTTCTTAAAAAATGTCTTTACTGTTGTTTTAGCAAGTTTCAGAGTGAATACCACCAAACATGGCTACTCAAACAGTCACCTTTAACAAAAAACTCTATACGTTTTCAAGGGTAGTCCTTCTCAGAAATATCTGCATACTTCTGCAAATATTTAAGTTGTCAGTATACTTTTTTAAAAGACATATTTGTATTATGTTATACTATATTAATTTTTAAAGCAATTAACTCCAAATAAAAGTAGATTTCTCAATGTCAAAAGCTACCCAAACTGTTTTAAGTGTTCACTGCTGCATAATTTCTTCAGCATTTATGCAGAGTAGATATCTGGGTATTCCTTTTTGCTTATAAAATTTCAACTTGAAAAAAGATTGTGATATTGTAAATATATTTCAGAGACAAAACGCTTCAGTATTGAACCAGTCAATGTAAACTGCCATGTGATTAGCTGCTTGAAGAAAAAAAAAATCAGGGATGCAGCATCAATGTAGTCACGGAGTTTTCTCAAATTGGTCTAGACCGATAGGGCCAACAGACCCACTGTTTTGCTGTACTTGCCAGTGTAGCCATGCGTAAGAAGGTAGCTAACTATAACCCAATTTTGCCAAGCTGTTAACCCATCTATATCTTAAAATATCAAGAAACACCTACCTGAGGATGATTTTCATCAGCTTTTGTAGCCAAAATGCAGAAATCACCACAGGTGGTAATAGAAATGAGACCCTTCACATATTTAAGATACTTTTCATTATTCTTCGTATCCCAGAAGACAACACAGTACTCTGGACGATCAGGTTTGGTATATGCATAAACTACAGTATTTGAGCAATAACCCCACTAGGAGGAAAGGAAGGAGGAAAGGGAAGGAGATAGAAAAGCAGAAGAAATATTCAGCATTGGGAAGGAAAATCTTATTATTTACTCTAGATATATTGCAGATATATGGTTTATCACTGCTGACAAAATATATTCTTCAGAAATAGAAGACAGGACTCAGTCTTCAGCTTAATATCTTTTGCTCAGTAAAATAAAGAATATCTAAAAATAATAAAGATATGTATAAAACAAAGAATATATTGCAAATATAAATTTAGTTTGTCTAACTTTCCTCATTTTATTTTATTATTATTATTATTTGAAACGGAGTCTCACTCTGTCACCCAGGCAAGAGTGCAGTGACGTAATCTCAGCTCACTGCAACCTCCGCCTCCCAGGTTCAGCGATTCTTCTGCCCAGCCGCCTGAGTAGCTGAGACGACAGGCACGCACCACCACGCCCAGCTAATTTTTGTATTTTTAGTAGAGATGGGCTTTCACCACATTGGCCAGGCTGGTCTCAAACTCCTGATCTGATGATCTGCCCGCCTTGGCCTCCCAAAGTGCTGGGATTACAGGCGTGAGCCACCATGCCTGGCCTAACTTTCCTTATTTTAATTTGTAAGATTTAAGCTTCAATGGTAAAAATTTTCAATAATCAATAATAGCTGCTAAAGAGGGGACAACAAGTAGCATGATCCCCGTCAAAGTTTCAATTCTGGATCCCCAAGTAGGAATTCAAAAATAGTCACTTTGCCTTTTTACCCCCATCCATATTTTTTATATTTGTTTTAATCACAGTAACATATTTACATAGCATATGGTCAAATAATCCTATCTGGCTTACATAAAACAAACAAAAACAAAATGCAGAACCCCCTGTCAAATTTCCTCTCTGGAATGGCTGTGTAGAACTCCTTTAACTGCAACTGTTCTGGCATTGATTTCCATATCCCATTATCTATCGATTATGGAACTTATACACTTACAGCTTTCCGCTCTAACTCACCTGTTTACATTTAATTTTGAATAAAAAATATTGTGTTAATATTATGATTGTGTTTACCAAACACATAAAAAGCTAAGCCATGTTTAGCTTTGTATACCCTGATTACTTTCTAAAATAAATTTTTTACTTTAAAATAGTTTTAGATGTACAGAAAAGTTGCAAAGATAACGTAGAGTTCCCATATATGCCTCATCCATTTCCCTTATTGTTTACATTTTACATTAACATGGTACATTTGTCATAACTAGGAAATCAACATCACTATTAACTATATTACTATTACTATTCAGTAAACATCATACTTTATTTAGATTTCATTCACTTTTCCCGAATGTCCTTTTACTATTCAAGAATCCCATTTGGAATACTTAGATTTAGTCATGTCTTCCTAGGCTCCTCTGGGGTATGACAATTTCTCAGTCTCCTTGTTTTTAATGATCTGGACAGTTTTGAGGAGTACTAGTCAGGTATTTTGTAAATTGTCCCTCGATTTCAGTTTGTGTAATGTTTTTCTTATGCCTAGATTGGACTGTAGGTTTTTAGGAAGACCAGCACAGAAGTGAAGTATACTTTTTTATCATGCCCTATCAGGGAGTATGTGATATCCACATGACATTCCTGATGATATTAACCCTTATCACTTGTCCAAGGTATGATTGCCAAGTTTCTCCAATATAGAGCTACTTTATTTTTTTCCCCCTCTCCATACTCTACTCTTTGGAAACTAAGTGCAGCCACACTCAAGCCAGGGGAACAGGGGACTATGTTCCACCTCCTGGAGAAAGCAATACCTAAGTAAACTGGAATAATTCTGTAAGGAAGATTTGTTTCTTCTCTCCCATTTATTTAGTCAAATAATCCATTTATAGCAGCGACAACTCTTGGGCATTTATAGTTTAGGTCACGATAAAATACTACATCATTTAGTTTATTCTTCAAAGTCCTCCAGCTTCGGTCATTGGGAGGCTATTTCAGCCATGTCCTTTTGACATTCCTCCATCCTTTTGTTACTTGAGAACTTCCTTACTTGCTGGGACTATAAACTACTCCAGGCTTACCTTGTATTTTCCCTGCCCTAGTCCTAGAATCAGCCATTTCTCTAAAAATTAAAATTCTTTTAAAAATTAAATGTATAAGATTTTTTATAACCAATAGTTTACCAGATCAATCTTGTATTTCAGAGCTTGTTTTAGATCAAATGTTAAATTCTAGATAAAATACTGATTATATATTAATGTTGCTTATTCTCACTTTTTCCTTCTAATCCATTATCTGCCCTTCTCTAGCCTCCTGTGAGGCTTGGAGCCCAGCTTCCATGAACTCCACCACCTGGGCTACCTTGTCATCTGGCTCCCAGTTGGGTTTGGCCAATAGAAAACACCAGCAAGTGGAGAGGTGAGCTGGAAGATTCATTCCCCAAATCCCTCTCTGCCTGGCCGGTTGGTAGGGTCTGGGCTCCTGCAAAGCAGCCCCTCTTGCACATCCACAGCTCCTGTGGGTTCCAGGAGCCTTACTCCCTTGTCTTGCCCCTTCAGGCCCAGGGCTGGTGATCGCTTCTCACTGATGCTAATCTTTGGGTGCTGCTTTTTATCATCCCTTGCTGTTCCCTTTAACCCTGCCCGTGTCTCTGTAATAAGCCTTTTATCAATCTCTCTTCAATTACTCCTTTGAGTGTACCATCTGTTTCTGGCTAAGACCTTGACTAATGGAGTGATTTTACTAACTATATATAGTATTCTAGAAAAGTTTACTAGTTCTAAGGTCTCCACACAAAAAGGCTTCCTTTCTGCTAGCTTCTAAAATAAGATAGCTTTGAATATACTTTGAGCTATAGCAAAATTATTTAGTAAAAAAACACTGTTTATTTTACAACTGCTCTTAATACTCACCTTATAATTAGGTCGAATGTTTGCAAAATATATAAAGGAATCAACAGCTAGTGCAATTTTCAATCCACTTCCTTCCCAAGATAGTGCAGATATTTCCTTTCCAGGAACTTTCAAAGTACCCAGATGCTGAAAAAAAGTTATCTTTAACCTAAAGTATAACAATTGACTCAAATACAAATTACCACCAATCACTTCATAGAGATCAAAAGTGATATAAACATTATTTTGTGAAAAGTTACTACTCACTTTAAAATCACTTTTCTTGAATTTTTATAATGAAAAACATACATATAAGAAAAATTTACAAACTATATCCAAAGAATTCAATGGCAAATTTCATCAAATCTAAAATGACATAGACTGAAACATGCATTTTTATTTTTATATACAACTAAGGAAAGGAAAAAAACACATTGCTAATTAAAATATAGCAACTTTGATTATAAGATGCCTCCTCATTTTAGAGTTGTAAAGCATTGTATTTCTTAGAATCAATGAAATATTGTATTAGTAAATTCAATCATAAAGTCTGGTCTTTCTCTTTCACCTCCTCACAACCAGCTAGTCACCAAGTCCTACTGCTTTTTACTCCTTTCCACTCTCTACAATTACCTTTTTAATGGATCGAACTGTGGTAATAGTTTCCTAACTTCAATTCTTACCTTTCATCTGTTTCCTGATTCTCACCCTCTGCCCTCCCAATTCAGTCTCTGTCACAATTATCTTTCTGGAACACAGATCTGATCATAACCCACCCTGCTTTTTTAAAGGTTTAATAATTTTTAAAAATCAGTAACTCCCCACCATCACATTCTTTAGCATGGCATACAATGCGTTTTCCCATCTAGCCCAAAACCATATTATGTGGCTTAATACCCCACTATTTAGCGATAACTGCTGTGTGCCGGCTCATGAAGGAACTACTGTACCTCCACAGCTTCAGCCTATACATTATCCCTTCTGCCTGAATCCTTTCTTCACAGCTCCCCATCCTTACTGGCCCTTGTCCTTCTGGGCCCCAGAAGGGCCTTACGTGCACTCCTATTCATCTATCAAGACACAGCTCAAATTCTGCTTCCTCAATGAGTCCTGCCTTCTTCCTCCACTCCATGGTTCCAGAAAATTAGAGAATGAGCTCCTTAATTGTACTAGCTGCATCATATTCACATTTATTTGCCTTCCATTAATAGATTATTTGATAAACTGATATTCAATAAGTGTCTTCAATAAATATATATTCAAATTAATTGTTTCAAATACTAAGTGCTTTTTATGACTGAATTAACAAGGAAATAAATGAAAGCAAATACTTTTTTAATGTGGCTATAAAACAACCAAACATTTTTAATCTATACCTTTTATTTGACAGAATGGTATAATCTCAAAAATCTCAATGAACTTTGCTGGTATCCCTTGTTCTTAAGCAGATATCCTCTTGGGTCAAGTTTAATGTTATTATAGTTTGAATGTCTGTCCCTTACAGAACTCATGTTGAAATGTAATTGCCATTTTGACAATATTAAGAGATGGGACCTTTATGCAGTGATCAGGGCACGAGGACCCTCATGACTGGGACTACTGCCATTATAAGAAAGGGAATTGGGTCCCGTCTTGTCTCTCTATTGCACTCTCTTTGCCCTTCTTCCTTCCACCATGCAGTGATGCACAGGAAAGCCCTCACCAGATGTCAGCAGCTCAGTACAGGACTTCTCATCCTCCACAACTGTGAGCCAATAAGTTTCTGTTCATTATAAACTAAGCAGGCTGTGGTATTCTGTTATAGCAGCACATAACAGAGTAAGACAAACGTATTGAGCTACATTTTGCCAAGGAAACCAATGGAAGAAAAAAAAAAAAAGTTTTAACCCAGGAGGGTCTGATCTATCTGTCTTGCTACCTGCATAAAATTAAAGGAGAACCAGCAAGTTCTCTGCAGTACTCTTGGAATCGACTCATCCATAGGAAGAGGGGAACACAGCTATCTTTAACTGCAAACCAGGCAGGATGTGGCAACAGCAAGGAAAGAAAACCAACTTTTAGTAAGCCTTCACTACATACCAGGCACTGTGCAGGCATTTATAATTTCCTTTAATCTTTACAACAGCACCATGACGTATTATTTTTATTTCTGAATATATGTAAACTGTGTCTCAGAGGCTAAATAACTTCTCTACGTCAAACTACACTGTGGGAAATGAACTCAATGCCAGGTCAACTTGACTACAAACCCTGTGCTCTGTTATCTCCCACCATGGCTAAAACCACAGTGCAAAAACCAGGAGCCCCTGGCCCTCAGAATTCAGAAGCATATTCTTCTCTGAGGTTTTCTTAAGTTTAAATCATTAAGTTTAAATTGTTAGATAACTTCCACCCAAGTTATCTTTCCTACCTTAACAGTAACATAGACACAAAGAAAAATTCCCCATATATTCACTCACTCAAAAAATACTGACTACCATGCCCTGAGGAAACATGCTAGATACTTTTAGTTACAGCTGGACCAAAACCCACTTACAGTTTTCAGTTGAACACTTAACACATTGTTTTGCAAGATAAACAAAGAGACTCTAGAACCCATGTTTTTATACTTGGGGAAGCCTGAACTAACAAAAACAAGCAGATAAAACGTTATGTTAAATAAGGAAATGGCAACCAACAAAAATAACCAATAAAGAACATGAATTAAGAAGGAGGCTCTAAATATAGAAATAATTAGAATGCAGGTTTTTAATTATTTAGGAACGTTGAAAACTATGGCTTTTTTTTGCTTCACTTTTACACCTACCAGAAATATTGTTGGTTGACAGTGTATAGAGAGCACCTACTTTGTACAGTGTATTCTACTGGGTAAGTTTCAAATACTGATTCAAAAGCATCAGACGATATCATTTCTTATCCTAATAGAAATTATTAAAATACATAAAAATAATCATATTAAAACAACTGGTACAGGCTTTTATGCAGCAAAAAAACAAAACAAAACAAAAAAACACTAAATATCTGGTGTAGTTTGACATAGACAAGTTATTTAGCCTCTGAGACACGGTTTACTTATTTTCAGAAATAAAGGTAATACGTCATGGTGCTGTTGTAAAGATTAAAGGAGATTACAATGAGGAAATGCCTGCACAGTGCCTGGCATGTAGTGAAGGCTTATTAAAAGTTGGTTTTCTTTCCTTGCTGCTGCCACATCCTGGCTGATTTGTAGCTAAAGATGGCTATACTCTTCTCCTAGTCTGTGGTGAATTTACAAAAGCCAACAGGGTATCCAAAAGGGACAAAATATAGTACTGGGTCAGAAAATAAGATATTCAAAAATGTATTAATCTTAGTTATTAATAAGCTCTCACTTTCTAAATGCTTTAAAATTCACAATATGTTAATTCTCCTACTTGACATTTTCCAATGCTACTTCTGAAAATTATCTTTTAAAATTAAATTTATTAAAAATACTACTGAGAAAGATAATATCTGTGTGTACATTTACGAAAACAATCCTTGTATTTTAATGTAGCATCACCCAAGAATAATTACTAAATTTTCTTCAAATAATTTATTAGTTTGCAACAAATTAAAAGTATTAGAAGTTTGGAGGAAAGATAGATAGATATGTATGTTTAATATCTATACACATTTAAAATATCACATTAAAAATCAGAAAAACTCTTCTGAAACAAGTATATTAAACTAAATACTACTCAAAAGCTGGCTATGAAAAGAGACACCTATTCAGGTCACAGAGAAAATACTCAAAGTAACAACTTCATGGTGATTTCTTATGTCAAACTTCTGGTTTTTTGAATGTATAAAATTGTAGCTTTTATTTTATAATTATAAGATTATAAAATTCCATAATAAAATACAACAAAGATTTATACTACAAAGATAAAATGTCCCTAAAAGAAAATATGACAGGTTTACACCATGTTCTTTTTTCCCCCACCTTACTACTCACTGCACATTTAAATAAAGAAGATCCAATTTGCATGCATTTACCTCACCAAACGGAGTGTAAAACTGCACAATGTTCACATCTTTGTCCTGCGTGGCCACCTTCTGGGAGCCTGCCACAGCTAATACGCTGCCCATGTGGTTCCACTGGATGCCTACTACGTACATGCCAGTGTCAATCAAAACGGGATCTAGTCAAAAAGAGAAAAACGAGGTGACTGTGGGAAAATACTTAGCCTAGAGAAGTTTATAATCTTACAACAATTTTTAAATATTTTTAAAACTTTCCACATTTAAAAAAAAAAACATGGCTGGGTACAGTGGCTCACGCCTATAATCCCAACACTTTAGGAGGCTGAGGCCAGCGGATCACTTGAGTCCAGGAGTTCAAGATCAGCCTGGGCAACATGGTGAAACCTCATCTCTATGAAAAATAAAAAATTAGCCAGGGGTGGTGGTGCACACTTGTGGTCCCAGCTCCTCGGGAGGCTGAGATGGGAGGATCCCTCAAGCCCGGGAAGCTAAGGCTGCAGTGAGCCAAGATTGTGCCACTGTACTCCAGCCTCAGCAACAGAGTGAGACCCCGTCACCAAAAAAAAAAAAAAAATTAACAATTAGAAATTAAGGCCAGGCACAGTGGGTCACGCCTGAAATCCCAGCACTTTGGGAGGCCAAGGCGAGACCATCCTGGATAACACAGTGCAACCTGGTCTCTACTAAAAATATAAAAAGCCAGGCGTGGTGGCATGCACCTATAGTCCCAGCTACTTGGGAGGCTGAGGCAAAAGAATCACTTGAACCCAGGAGGCGGAGGTTGCAGTGAGCCGAGATTGCACCACTGCACTCCAGCCTGGGCAACAGAGAGAGACTCCATCTCAAAAAAATAAAATAAAATAAAATAAAATTATAAATTTAAAAATTTTTAAAAACAGAAAAATTCCTTACTTTGGTCATTCTCATGTCTCATTATTTGGCATCTTCCATTGTCGAAGCAAACAGCAAGGCAAGGGCAATCAGGCTCCACGTAGCCTTCTGTACCATGGTACCAATGAATCCCAGCAATGCTGATAGCTCCAGTGACATTCACCAAACAACTCAGTTTCATTTTTATCTAAATAAAATTGGTTAGGTTTAATATGTTACATTTCAAAACAGAGCAGTATAGCTACAACGCTCTAAATAGAGTATTGTAGGAAGAACACTGAAAACAGGATCTAAAAATCAGGTTGCAAATAAAAACTTAATCACCTACTGGTATACAGGCCTTGGGCAAATCAACTAAATCTCCATTTTGCCCACATGTAAAAAATGAGGATTAACAAAACACTGAGTTTTTATGAGAGTCAAATAACAAGTATATGAAAGTACTTTGAAAACAGCAAAATGTCATTCAAAAGTTCAATATTTTTCTTCCACCAGTGAGTGGATTTACTTAGTGTCCTAGTCCTTGCTAAAAAACAGAGCTGCCCCATCAGTAGATCATAGATCTATTATAGCTAAACCTTGCAAAGCCAGAATTTTTCTGCAGATTATGCGGCCTGAGCCTATTCTATTTTACCTTCTTTTGAGGGATTGATTTTTCTCTTACAATTTAAGTCTCTCATTCTTTTTACAAACAATCATTTTTGTAGCTTGCTACAAAAGTATCTTTGGTATCTAAATGTAAACTTTGGCTTGAGATACCAGAAGACACTTAAAAAACTTAAACTGCACATTGTCCTACTCATTATCCCTCTACTTCAATGCACTGACATCTTGTCCTTTCTACCTACCAACAAAATTGGAACTAAAAGCTACACTCTAACATGTTGCATTAATTTGCCTTGAGAAAACCAAAACTTTAATTTTAAAAAATTTTAGATGATTGGGAAAAGAAAAAATCTGAATTGAAGACTTTAATTACACAAAGCATCGTAACAAATAAACGTGTATACAAACATGAATGATACGTACAATAATCATATAAAATTGTATAAACAAGACTGATGAATACACAGACTTACTATAAAATGCCCTTGATTGTCATAAATGTGTATTTCCCCATTTGCCATTCCAAAGAGTAAGACTTTACTGTCTGCAGACCATGTTACATGGCATAGCTGTAAACCCTTCAGGTCTTTTCCCCAAATACGATTGCCTAAAACAAAACATTATTAAAAGCTGTTCAAGGTCATGACCCTCCAACAACTGCTTTCGAAATCTTTGTTTTCCTAAAGATCTCTCAAATTCTTCACAGCATTCATGCATTCATTCAATTTATTTGGTCAATAAATATTTACTGAGCGCCTATATGTGCCAAATACCTAAAGAGACATTGAAATAGCAAATCTTTTAAATTTTCTCCCCTTTCTTCTAAACTCTGACACTGGATCTCACTCCCAATTAGCAGTTGAACCCATCTTCTACTTTGGAAAGAAAATAAAAGCACCCAAAAAACAAATTCTTCATTTCCCATCTTCAACCATTCAGAACATAACTGAATCCACACCTACACTTTCTGCTTTGCCCTCTAATCCAAAAGAAGAGGTATTTCTCCAGTCAGATCCCTATCTAAGGCTAATTCCTCTATGTATTCTCTGATCTAATCCCTTCCTAGCTTTGCAAAGATCTCACTTTAATGACTACTCTCATTTTCTCTTTCTCATTAAATTCTTCACTCTTTCTTGTGTGGATTTAAACACACAGATCTATTTCTCTTTGAAACCACCACCTCAAATAAAATAAAACAAAGTAAACGCTTTTCTTAACCCCAAGTTCCCTATCTGTTTCTACCCTTCCTTTTCCAACCAAACTCCATGAAAGAGTTCTTCACACCTACAGTCTCCACTTTAACTCCCACTCAACCCTTAACACGTCCCAGTCTGACTTCTGCCCCACAACTCCATTGAAACTGCCTACAACATACACTATCTGGGTGATCGTTACATACTAATAGTCCAGATCCAGACCTCACCAATATTCAATATATCCACAAAACAAACCTGCACTTATACCCCTTAAAGCTGTAAAAATAATACATAAAAGAAGAAGAAACCAAACCTGTTGACATCTTGATCTTGTACCTCTAGAGTCCAGAACTCTGAGAAAATAAATTTCTGTTGTTTAAAAAAGAAAGAAAGAAACTGCCTTCATGGAGGTCACTGATGGCCTGCTGCTAAAGCCAAATGATACATTTTTTTTTTACAAGTCCCTCCTTCTTGATACTCTTTTGGCTTCCATTAGCCCACATACTCCTTTATCTGCAAGACTTCTATTTTTCAACATCCTTCTTCTGCCCATCCCTTAAATGTTGCTGACTTATTTTTTCCCCGAGACAGGGTCTCACTCTGTTGCCCAGGCTAGAGTGTAGTGGTAAGATCATGGCTCACTACAGCCTTGACCTCCCAGGCTCAAGCAATCCTCCCACTTTGGCCTCCCAGGTGATTGGGACTAGAGAAGTGTGCTACCACACTCAGATAATAATTTGGTTTTTTATTTTTTTATTTTTAGCAGAGACAAGGTCTTGCTATGTTGTCCAGGCTGGTCTCAACCTCCTGAGCTCAAGCAATCCTCCCACCTTGGCCTCCCAAAGTGTTGGGATTACAGGCATAAGCCACCGTGCCCAGCCTAAATGTTGCTGATTCTTAACTCTACAGATGGCCCTTAGTTTTGTTCAACTATTCCAAAGGTTTAAATTACCAAGCTTATGGTGGTGGTTTCCAAAATTTTGTGTTCAGTACAGATATTTTTGAGCTGCAGATATGTATGTCTAACTAGGGTCTAGATATATTTACCGGAATGGCCTATGGCATGACAAAATCAGCATATCCCACAGTAGAATCTTCCCTTAAGAAAATTCTTTCTCCACATTATTTTAATGAAAGGCATTACCATCCATCCAGCTGCCCAAGCTAAAAATCTGGATATTGCCCTGGGGACTTCCATCCTCTCATCCCCAAACCTATCTATTCTGCCTCCTGAGTACTGTATGTCTAAAATCTACTTACTTCCATACCCTTTGTCATTACCTGGATGGCTGCCATCCACCATCATCTCTCCTCTGAATTGCCAGAGCAATTTCCTGATACAGCCGCCCATTATCTTTCTTTCCTTTCTCTATTCTTTATATGTAGTACAGAGATGTTTCCAAAGAATCTTATCACCTTATTCCCATTCTTAAAACTTTTCATTGGCCTCCCAAGTGTTGTTAGACTTAAGTCTAAATGCCTTAATATAATTTATAATCTGCATGATCTGGCCTCTATTTCTCTCTAGATTCATTACATACTACTCTTCACCGTTAGTATTATATCCTACTGATACTCACATTTTTCAATAGCCCAGACATAGCTAAGTGTAACTCCTCTGGACCTCCTCAAATGCTATTTCCTAGGGCTGAGACGTTCTACACACCAACCTACTTTGTGGCTACTGCCTCAGCATCAGCATCACTTCCTCCAGGAAGCCTTTCCTGTGCCTTCCAAGTCTGCATTAGGCGGCACTTCTACATGCTCCTGTGTCTTCCCCATCTTAGCGCTTATCACAGGGTACTGTAATTGCTTGGTTACTTACGTATCTCTCCTGATCTAGGTCTGGTTATTGCTATACCCTTAGTTCATAAAATGATACCTGTTGCTAAATAGGCTCTCAGAAATATTTGTTGACTATGTGAAGTTACACACACACACACACACACACACACACACAGAGAGAGAGAGAGAGAGAGAGAGAGATGAAAATGATTTTAACATAAATTATTTCTCTACAGAGTTTCAAATTAAAACAAAGGTGTAGATTTTCAGAAGATCCGGTTTTAACTATTACTAGAATTTGAAAAATATGGGTTTTTAAGGCTATAAACTACAACCAACAATGACATGTTCAGTTCTACTAAAAGTGACCACAGACTTTTTGAAACTAAAGTCTACATATGTATACAGACTAACCAATATAAAGACAAATTACATAATGAGGCAGATATGTTTAAAATAATGCTGAAAATTCACTTTTTTCAGTGCCACTGTAGGAAATCAAAAAATAGACTTTCCTTGAATATATATAAAAACAGATGTTTAAAACCAAAGAACAGTTCTTGAGTGTCATCGAATTGGATATCAAATGTTTTCCCTTTATGCCTATTTTTCAATCAGAATGCTAACATTTGATAATTAATTTAAATCTCTAAAGAAAACTGTCAGCCAGATATCGATCTTAAGTCTATGTCCGACCAATGAATTACCATCCACTGAACCAACTATCACAGCCCCATCTTCATATACAATGCAGATCTTCTGTCCATCAGCATTCCAGCTCATACTGCGAACAACTGATTTATTTCGATTGTTGATCATCTCCTCAAACCAAGAGCCTGTTTTCACAAATTTAAAAATTACAAGTCAAAACTTTCACATCTATTAAACAGTAGTTAAAAATTGAAAGCATTCCATAAAGTACACCACGGGATAAATAACTGCAAAGTTTTCTACAACCTGAGACATTAAACTATAAAACTTCCAAATCCAACAAAAACAAAATGAAAAATTAACTTGGGCTTAACATTGCTTCAAAGATTATCACAGAAAACATAATAAATGCCCATCCTTTGTTTCTTCTTTCTTTCTTTCCCTGTCTCTTTCTTTCTGTCAATTAAAAAATAAACTTCATTTGCTTTTACGGAGCCAAACCTACTGATCTTTCTGAAAGCCTAACTTTTTCCACTTGAACAATATGGTTCAGATCATAACCAAGAAAAAAACCCCAAGTAACAATAACTTTATATGTACACATAAACTCTCTAATGATTAACTACAAGCATATTAAATACAGCATATTAGTCACCATCATAAAGGGAATGAGGGCAAAAAATCCACAGCATATTAGGTAAAACTCTAAGCCTGCTTGAAAAACTAGTAATCAGTTTATATTACATTAGTGCTACCACATCTCTAATGCTGAATGACAAAAATAGTCTAGTTACATGCAGGGTAGGAATGACATGTAACTTGTCTTGTAGTACAACCAAATTAGAGGCAAAAAAAAGTAGGTTATTTTGTTTTTGTTTTTTTAAAGGCTTTTTTATATACATACTGACATAGGGAACTCTGACCTGCAGCCAAGCAAATAATCACATAATTTGGAATAACTGGGCAGCACAGGGGAACAGAATCAAGACTGAGACCCAGAGAAGACCTGAAGACCTACCTTGGAAACAGACAAAGTTTACTCCAGTCCACTGAACTTTAACATTCTATCCCCTACCCACACACGAACAGAGACACACTTTTTAAAAAATTAAAGTATTATAGCATATCTTTAACGAAGACTTTTTCAGTGGTATGCCCTGCCATTTAAAACAGCACACATGAACTTTTCAAAACAGCACACATGAACTAAGGTACGCTTCCCTTTTGAAGATGATGACTACAGCCCTCAGGAAAACATGTATTATGAGCTGTTTTTCTGGTAAAAATGGTATATCTAAGTTAATCCTTCTTTTATTCTCCCTCTCTCTTGTAGACAAGAAGCACAAATTGTGAACCAATAATCAGAGTTGAGATAAAATCTGTATTCATAAAAGCAAAGGAAGCTAACTGGCCCATGCAAGAAATGAATTATTGCCTTTGACTTCTTACTAAATGTGTTTTTATCTACCAACTCCAGCCACTCACTTATTCATTCATTCAACAAATATTTATTGAACATGTACACTGTGCTATGCATTATAAAAGGTTCTACATATAAAATGATGAACTAAATAGTCATTTCCTCTTTCCCCTCAGAGCTTACAGTCTACTGAGGGACCAATATTAAATACACACTCACACACACGTAAATGTAATTATAAACTGGAACTACCTAGGAAGTAACTCTTATTGGAAATCGGCGGGGGGGGGAAGAGCTATCTCAAGTAGAAGCTATTCTTCTGCTAAGAGTCTAAGTTCATTTTGGAGATAGCCAACAGTCAGCTAATTCACTTTCTTAATACAGGGTTAAAGTTAAAAAAAAAAAAAAAGTGAAAAGTAGGCAGCAATAAGTCCAGAAATATCATCACTGCGCAGTCAGGATGCACTCCTGTTGCTAAGTAAAAGGGGTCTATTTGGAGATGTTATTTACCCATCCAAATACTGTGATCCAGATGCCAACTTGTGAAAAAGTAAATAAGCTCTCCTAGTATAGCATACCTTTACAAAACATCCACACAATGATAAGCCCATTTTCATCACTGGTAGTCAACTTCTGATACTGTTCATTCCATGTTACAACTTGAACAGAACCTAGAACATTATAAAACAATTTAGAAACTTAAAGGTTACAATTAATTTCAAATTTATATTTTATATAAACACCAAGATCAAGTTAAAATCAATATACAGCTAACTAGTCTTTAATATTCCTCAAAAATATTCATAGGATGCAGTTATTGATATCACTACTTTTCTATAACAATGCATAATACTATTTTTCATATCTATCTTTATTTCATGCCAGTGAAGACACCTATCATGGCTAGCTACAAGAACTACCATATATCCGATGACAGAAACAAATACAAGCATGGTTTACCCAATTGGCCTGACTCCCAAAAACAATGATGTCCAAAGGACACCATACTAAGTACTTGTTTAAGGGATTTTTGTTAATCCTTTTTGGTAGATATGCCCTATAATCTCTCTTCTGCCCACCCCTCGCCCCTGTTTTCCATTCTATTAGTAAAACACTCTTAAGCATATCTTAAACCTCTAGGGTACATGAATTATTGATGACTTAATTTTTTAATCCCTAAATACTTTCGTGTACATTTCCTAAGAATAAAGACATTCTCTTTCATAATCATATTACAAATTAGGAAGTTTAACACTAATACACTATTATTATCTAACTCACAGTCCATATTCAAATTTTATCAATTGTCCAAATAATGTTCTTTATAGACACTTGTTTTTCTCATTCCAAAATCCAATCTAGGATTACACAGTGCATTTAGTTGTTACGTGTCTTCAACCTTTAGTCTTTTTTTTTCCCCTGAGACGGGATCTTGCACTGTCACCAAGGCTGGAATGCAGTGGCACAACCATGGCTCACTGCAGCCTCAAACTCCTGGGCTCAAGGGATGCTCCCACCTCAGCCTCCCAAGTACCTGGGACTACAGACACGCGGCACCACACCTGGTTAATTTTTTTTATTTTTTTGTAGAAACAGGGTCTCATTATGTTGCCCAGGGTGGTTCCAAAATCCTAGCCTCAGGCAATCCTCCCACATTGGCCTCCTAAACTGCTTGAACTATAGATGTGAGCCACTATGCCCAGTCTCTTCAGTCTCCTTTAATCTGGAATCATAGGGCAGATTCTAAAAAGGATTATTATACATATGAAACACTCATAGACAGGAGTATTTTCAATATATAAAATAACAGCTACTTTCTCCTAGATTTATTTAAGATGTTGTTTACTCGTGTAAAAGTTGAATGACTCTAAGTTATATTACTTAAGTCTCAACAGAAATGATTACAAACAGCTCCCAATTTACAATGGTACTACTTAAATGATTTTCCAGTGGTGGGAATGCAATGCGCATTCAGTAGAAATCGCACTTCAAGCGCCCACACAACCATTCTGTTTTTCACTTTCAGTACAGAATTCAATAAATTACATGAGACAGTAAACATTTTATTATAAAATAGGCTTTATGTCAGATGATTCTGCCCAACTGCAGGCTAGTGCTTTCTGGGCACATTTAAGGTAAACTAGGCCAAGTTATGATGTTCAGTAGGTTAGGTGTATCAAATGCATTTTCAGCTTACGATGGGTTTATTGGAACATATCCCCATTGTAAGTCAAAGAGCATCTGTATTTTAAATATTACCGTTATTTAAAATGTTGACATTTCTGCATTAAGCAGATACTTTCTAAATGCCTAAATACCACTCAAACATGCCTTAAAAGAAATTCCATGACTCACCACTATGACCTTCAAGATTCTGATTCATAGAAAGATTACTGGGGGCCGCAAGACCCCTCAATTTTGCATCACCTAAAACAAAACAAAACAAGCTACTATGTTAAACATATAAAGGTTACAATAGTGTAAGACTTTGACTTTTTTTTGTATTCTTGGGCAGTATTAATCATTTTTTTAAGTATACCTCATTCTGATTTATTTTTCTCATGGTACAAATATGAACAATAACAAATACCTCTTGCAAAAATATTCTCGTAAAATAAAGCAAAATATATAAATGAACATTGTTTACTCATACATTAAATATATTAATAATCATCACTGCTTCTTATTCCTTTCCAAAAGACCACAAATAGAAATACTTATGGACCATAGACTGAAAACTCTACAGCTTACAAGGGATCAAAACAGCATAGAATTTGAAAATGAGTTTTTACTAGATTACACAGAATTTTATATTCACTCATTTATTCATTCATTCAACAAATATTTATTGAATGTGAAATGTTTATTATAAAACATTCTATGTATAAAATGACTAACAAAACAGTCATTTCCCCTTTCTCCTCAGAGCTTACAGTCTGAAGGACAAATATTAAATACACACTCACACCCCCATAAATGTAAGTATAAACTGGGAACGCGAAGGCATAATAAGAAACAGTAACAGAAGTGACTTAATTACAGATTGACGGGGAACCAGGGAAGGCTTTCAGAAGACCTGATACCTAAGCTGAGCTGGTAAACTGGAGATAGCCAGGAAAGGCAGAGAAAGAAGGGGTGTAGTTCAGGCTAGGACACAGCAACGCAAAGGCTCCGAAGCAGACGCTTAGAACCCTTGACAAACTCTAAGAAGGCCTATGTGGATGAACAGGGGAGAAAATTGCATTAAACAAGGCTGGAGTGACAGGCACAGGAAAAATGATGAAGTATTTATAGAAAACAATAAGAATTTTAGATTTTATCGAAAGTGTAATGAAAACCTCTAAAGACATCTTAAAAAATCATCCTACAGAGGATAATATTAAAATGTCATCTCAATAAATTAATCTTTGCTTAGAAATCTGTTACACATAAAACATAGCATTTAAAACTTTCATTTAAAGTACAAATTTTATGAAGATTTTAAGAGTTGTGAGAATGGGAATTATACCAATGCTAATGAAAATTCTACTTTCACATAGCATGTATCCTAAAATATTATGAAAAATATTCTTTATTCTGAAAACAGTCAGGAAAAAATACCTCATTTCCTCTAAAATCACTATTTTAATTACCCAGTTGTTGTTTTGTTAACCCAAGAGTACACACGTACAGTTTAACAATGCAATCATCTGTCAAACAATTAAGATTAAATGTTGCCGACACACACATTAGGCTGAACATGTTTTTTTTAAACATAGGGTTCTTTCACTCATTTAATCTTTTAAAAATTTTACAACACACTTTATTATAATATTCTAAAATATTTGGTTGAAACAATTTTCTTAACTTCTAGCACTGAAAAATCCATTCTGATGCTTATATATTCTGGTGTCACCGTAACCTAACTAAGTGAAATGGGTGATATGCGATTTAGATGGACCACCCATGTTTTCTCTCTGTTGGACTGTAAGGTAGGGCACTCTTGACAAAATACATGCTGACAGTTAAGAACAGGCTTTGAAATTCAGTTTGATGTACTGAACAAATATCATCCACATCTGAAAAGGTCTCTTGCTGGCAGCAACTCCATAACTTGATCATGTACAAAATATTCATAAAACCCACCTGAAAGTTCTCAGATGTCTATAAAAGAGCCAAAAGTTTTAAATGATGTAGAGTAACGCCAGCAACAATATCCCAAGATTCCATTCGTTACATTACTAGACTCCAGACAGCCAATAAGGTAATGAAACCAAACTGGTATGTGAACAAAAATCTGCTAATACTGACATAAATCTTCTAAAAGCACATACCAGTAACCCTTGGATTTAAAAGGCCTGTTGAAAGAGGATACTAAAATATAAAGCATTTTAAACTCATGTAAAGGTATTTCAGAATGAAATCAGTTATTCCAATAACCCAAAGAACATCAAAAAGTCCAAAGAAGGCTTTTAAAAGATTAAGGTGTAATAAAGCGACTGAAAGTAAAAGGTATGATACAGAAGAACAGAAGAGCCTGCTAATCACACCAGTAACCAAGCACACTAAATCACTAAGAGCCTTTCTCTTAGAAAAGCATGACTGACAATGCTTTTGTTTGCATTCATTGAAGTTGTCAGCAGCCCAATACCAAGAGAAATTCCTGTTATGTGCTGCACAATAAGCTTGAAACCTAGAATCAAAATATAAAGAAGACTGTTTTGCAACACATAAGGACAATACAATTCTGAGGAGATGGTACCATATTCGCCAGACTCTCTGGCAGGGTCACCTGGTTCCCTTGCTTCTCTGTGTGAATGACTGACTGCAAAGGACTATGGATGCATCCCTGGGTATAGCTATGGACACCTTACCTGAGATTTCTGGTCAATCTTGTTGTCCTGGGCATACTGGAAGATTGAGGCAATGTCACTGCCTACAGGTCCTGGAGAACTGAGCAGACAGCTACAGCTGGCTTGCATGGCCCTAAATACTTTTTCTCTGTTGCAAATGTGTGCTTCCAGGGCTCTCTACTCTCATCAGGATGAGAGGATGGAGGCCTTGGCAGTCATAGCAGGAAAAGCAAGAAATGCCACCTCAATCCTAGTCAGGGACATCACCCTCAAACCCTATCACAAGCAGCTACAACCCAAGTTCATCACCCTCAAACCCTATCACAAGCAGCTCCAACCCAGGGCAATCACCCTCAATCCCTACCACAAGCAACTCCAAACCAGGGTCATCACCCTCAGTCCCTAACACAAGCACCTCCAACCCAGGGTCATCACCTTCAATCCCCAACACAAGCAGCTCCAACCCAGGGTCATCACCCTCAATCCCTAACACAAGCAGCTCCAACCCAGGGTCATCACCCTCAATCCCTACCACAACCAGCTCCAACCCAGAGTCATCACCCTCAAACCCTACCACAACCAACTCCAACCCAGKGTCATCACCCTCACACCCTACCACAACCAACTCCAACCCAGGGTCATCACCCTCACACCCTACCACAAGCAGCTTCAACCCAGGGTCATCACCCTCAAACCCTACTACAACCAACTCCAACCCAGAGTCATCACCCTCAATCCCTACCACAAGCAGCTCCAACCCAGGGTCATCATCTTTAAACCCTACCACAAGCAACTCCAACCCAGGCTGTCAGCCCTTTAAAAACCTTTTGGCAAGGAAATGACATCATCTGGTCCCTTTAAAAAATGACACTGGCTAGAGTGTCAAGAACAATTAAGAGTAAGCAAGAGACAATGGAAGGAGAAAAACTGATTCTCACAATAGACCAGGTGAGGGATGATGGTAGCTGGAGCTATAGAGGGGGTAGGGGAGACAAAGGAAAGGATGGCTTCAAGATATGCTTTCGAGACAAAAGCTACAGGATTGCTGATGTAGATGCTGTAAAGGGAGGAAAAGAGAAGATTTCCAGCTTGAGCAAATGCGTGAAATTGAGACATTTTGCTGAAATGGAGAGAACTGAAAGAAGAGATTTGGAAGAACATCAAGAGTTCAGTTTTGAACAGTTTAAGTATGAGATGCCTGTGAAAGATTCCAGCGGAGACACCCAAGTCTGAAAAATCAGGACTGGACTGGAGATACAAATGTGGGGCTTTTCACCCCATACCACAGACGACATTTAAGGGCAAGAGAATGAAAGAATAAATACAGAAAGCAAGTGACTAGAGAGCCCAGAAGCAAGTTCTGGGGAATTCTAATAGAAGAGGGAAGTCTAGCAAAGTGACTAAGGACTGACCAGAGAAGGAGGAGAGAAAAGTAGTATGTCTAAATATAACAATAACTTAAACATTTTGAATTCTCCTGTCTTGAAAAATAATGTTTTGAGTCAAATCCTGATGAGTCAATAAAAGCTGTCAATTAGATTTAGAACATGAAAGTCACTGGTGAGGGAGAGAAAAAGAGAGAGGACTGATATTGAAAGGAGAAAGAGAGGATAAATTAGCAGAGAGGTAACCTGAGGAGGTGAGAGGAGATGAGCTCCAGCAAAACACTAGAAGCTGGCCTGTGAGAGAAGTAAACCTGATATAAAAAGATGGACTGCTGGTTCTAGTTCCTTTCCTTCTAAAGCAAGGGACTGAAAACTGGAAATGCAACTTGGTACAAACTTTCTGGAGGGTAATTTGTCTACACATAACAGAAACCTGTATAGAGAGAGAGATCCAAGATGGCTGATTACTAGCAGCTCAGGATTGTAGCTCCCAGTGAAAGCGCAGAGAACGAGAGGACGCCACAATTTCAGATGAATTTTTGTTGGTCATGGACCAGGAGATTCCCAGAGGAGGAGCCCCACGGGTCACCAGCGTGACTCTTGTGGCCAGTGCGGCGGTTCTTGGTGCAGAGTAAACGGGACTGGGTCCCCTTTTGGTCGATGCTTGGAGCTCCAGGAAGGCAGAGTCACCTATTCAGCTGATTGAAAAAGAGACTCAAGAAGGAAGCCAGACCGGAGATTCCCGGGCAGAAAAGCACCACGAATCTTAATGCAGCTGTTTTGGCTGGTGCAGTGGGTTGCTCAGATTCCAGTGCTGGAAATCAACAAGTTGGACGTCCACTCAGAGACCTAATTTGAAAGTTGGTAATTACAAAGATGACAGGTGGATAAATTTACAATGATGGGAAGAAACCAGCGTAAAAAGGCTGAGAATACCCAAAATCAGAATGCCTCTCCCTCTACAGGGGATCACAGTTTCTCATCAACAAGGGAACAAGGCCTGATGGAGAATGAGTGAGTTCCATTAACAGATTTAGGCTTCAGAAGGTGGATAATAAGAAACTTCTGTGAGTTAAAAGAGCATGTTCTAGCCCAATGTAAAGAAACTGAGAACATTGAAAAAAGGTTTGACAAAATCCTAACGAGAATAGACAATCTAGAGAGGAATATAAGTGAATTAATGGAACTGAAGAATACAATACGAGAACTCCGTGAAGTATGCACAGGTTTTAACAGTCAAATTGGTCAAGCAGAAGAAAGGGTATCAGAGGTCAAAGACCAACTTAATGAAATGAAACGAGAAGACAAGATTAGAGAAGAAAGAGCAAAAAGGAATGAGCAAAGTCTCCAAGAAATATGGGACTATGTGAAAAGTCCTAATTTGCATCTGATAGGTGTACCTGAATGTCATGAAGAGAATGAATCCAAGCTGGAAAATATTCTTCAGGATATTATTCAGGAAAACTTTCCCAACCTAGTAAGGCAGGAAAGTACTCAACTTCAGGTAATACAGAGAACACCACAAAGATATTCCTCAAGTAGAGCAACCCCAAAACACATAATTGTTAGATTCACCAGGGTTGAAATAAAGGAGAAAATTCTAAGGGCAGCTAGAGAGAAAGGTCAGGTTACCCATAAAGGGTAGCCTATCAGACTCACAGCAGACCTCTCAGCTGAAACCCTGCAAACTAGAAGAGAGTGAGGATCAATATTCAATATCCTCAAAGAAAAGAATTTTCAATCCAGAATCTCATATCCAGCCAAATTAAGCTTCATAAATGAAGGAAAAATAAAATTTTTCGCAAACAAGCAAGCACTCAGAGATTTCATCGCCACCAGGCCTGCTTTACAAGAGCTTCTGAAGGAAGCACTATACACAGAAAGGAACAACCAGTATCAGTCATCCCAAAAACTTACCAAAAGGTAAAGAGTATCTCCATGATGAAGAATCTATACCAACTAATGGGCAAAATAGTCATCTAGCATTAAACGACAATATTAAACTCACAAATATCAATATTAATCCTAAATTTAAATGGATTAAATGCCCCAATCAGAGACACAGACAGGCAAATTGAATGAAAAGTCAAAACCCATCAGTTTGCTGTATCCAGATCCATCTCATAAGCAAGGACACACAGAGACTCAAAACAAAGGGTTGGTGGAAGACTTGCCAATCAAATGGAGAGCAAAAAAGAGAAAACAGGAGTTGTAACTTTCCTCTCTGACAAAATAGACTTTAATAGTAACAAAGACTAAAAGAAACAAAGGACATTACATAATGGTAAAAGGATCAATGCAACAACAGGAGTCAATGATCATAAATATATATGCACCCAATGTAGGAGCACCCAGATACATAAGACAAGTTCTTAATGACTTATAAAGAGACTTGGTCTCCCACACAATAATAGTGGGATACTTTGACACCACATCATTAATATTCGACGGATCAACAAGATAGAAAATTAACAGGGACATCTATGATTTGAACTCAGACCTGGAACAAGTAAACTCAGTGAATATTTATAGAATTCTTCACCCCAGGTCCACAGAACATACATTTTTCTCAGTATCATATTACACCTATTTTGAAAGTGACCACATAATTGGAAGTAAATCATTCTTCAGCATTTGCATAGCATTTTACAGACTTAAATGAAATATTCGTTGGCTGTTTGTTATTTTCTTCCTTTATTCCTTCCTGTCTCCGCTGTTAAGCACAATTATCGGCATAAAAGAGGTTTTTAATACCTATTTTTAGACTGCATTCCAGCCTGGGCAATAGAGCAAGACTCCTGTTCTCTCTCCCCCTTTCTCTTTCTTTCATTCAAAAAAAAGAAAAAATAGAAACCTATATAATGTACAGACTCTTTGATCCAGTGAATGCCATTTCTAGAGATTTATCCTAGAAAGTCTTAACAATTTATGCAAAGATTTGAATACAAAGATACAGTTGCTTTAACAGTAAAAATGCAGAGACATCTAAATGTCCAGTACTAGAATTGGTTAAGCAAAGTACAATATATTAACACCAATATAATGAAATACTAAATAGACATTTAAAATGGTGCCATAGGAGATGATTTATTGATGTAGAGGATTGCTGTACTATATTGCTGTAGCCAAGCTACAAAACACTATACTTAAAATGTTGCATCTTTAGCACAACACAGTGCTTGAGATGAAGCAGGCATGCAATATCTATGATTGTTACTAGAGGGATCTGCTGAATCACTACTATTTGTATTAAATACAATATATTGATCTTGTTAGAATCTCCCAGTCATATTTCTCATATTTATCTCTTTCAGCACAATTCATAATCATTATTAAGTTCCAAAACAAATACTTTACTCCATTTTCCAAACCTCCCAAGAATCGATTTCCCATCTTGCTCACTAATTTCAAAGAATACTCTAGCCACAGTTTATCAAAAGGACAGAGTAGAAAAAGAAATATGTTTTTTTTTAAAAAAAAGCCTTCAACATTAAACAAAATGAACATTTCTTAATGTATTTTAAAACCTGCTATGTACTGTAAGCAAAAGTATGTATATACAGACACACACACATCTATAGATACATTTAAGAAACTTTCTTTTAACACAGTTTTAAAAACTAAAGCACTGACAGATTGAACTATAAAACAGCATAAGCCAAACTTTAACTGGTACTTAAGTATTTATCTTCCAAATCTGCCTTTTATTTCATAAAATTAACCTACCACAGCAAAACAATTGCTATCTTCTTTACTTAGGCTGTCCACTAGCCCTTTGTGCAGTGATTAAAAACAAGGATTTGAATGTGAGACAAACTTAGTTTCACATCCTTACTCTGCCACTTACTGGCTGTGTGAGCTAGTACAATTATTAACTGCTCAGAGCCTTAATTTTCTCACCTAGAACACCTACTGCTCAAGATCTTTATTGTGAAGTCAAATAAGATTGTGAAGGTTAAATATCCAAGTATACGGAAAACCGTCAATAAGTATTTATTACTCTATAACATTCAAAGCTGTAAGGTAATGCTATTCAAAGTGGGGTCTGAGGACCAGCAACTCAGCATCACTAAAAATGGAAATTCTCATTTTCAAAAATGGAAGGTCCCACCCAGGGTCTTTTGTTGGGGGGTAGAGCATGAAATCCATCTTAACGACCTCTTCCAGTGATTCTTACACCTAACACATTTTGAGAAGCAATGTTGTAAGGAATCCAAAAATGTAATTCAGTTTAATCCCCTACATTTTCATTTTAAGGAAGAGTAAACAAAAGTACTAAAATCCTCAGCTACTCATTGAAAGTCATTCAGTAGTCCTGTGGGAGAGTTGAGATTTAACTCCAATTACCCTATCTAGATCTTCAATCTAGCGCAGCAGTAGCAAAGCTAAAGAAGTGGGAAGCTCAGCATTCCCATTACTGGGTATATATCCAAAGGATTATAAGTCGTTCTACTATAAGGACACGTGCACACGAATGTTCATTGCAGCACTGTTTACAATAGCAAAGACCTGGAACCAACCCAAATGCCCATCGATGATAGACTGCACAGGGAAAATGTGGTACATATACACCATGGAATATTATGCAGCCATCAAAACCGATGAGTTCGTGTCCTTTGTAGGGACATGGATGAACCTGGAAACCATCATTCTCAGCAAACTGACAGAAGAGCAGAAGATCAAACACCACATGTTCTCACTCATAGGCGGGTGTTGAACAATGAGAACACATGGACACAGGGAGGGGAGCACTACACACTGGGGTCAGTTGGGGGGAAATAGGGGAGGGACGGTGAGGGGTGGGAAGCTGGGGAGAGACCGCAAGGGGAGAGATGCCAGATGTAGGTGATGTCCGGCAGCAAATCACACTGCCACATGTGTACCCATACAACAATCTTGCATGTTCTTCACATGTACCCCAAAACCTAAAATGCAATAAAATAAATAAATGGAAAAAAAAAAAAGAAGTGGGAAGCTGTTTGTTGTGATTCCAGAGCACTAGATAAAGAAATCGAGCCGCATAGACAATAGACCTACTAATAAAAATGTAAAACATACCCCATTTTCTGTTTTTGGACACTAGGTGAATAATTACTAATGCATCTGATAAGCAGAAAGGATGACATAGATGTGTAAATAATCTGCCAAATTTTCTTTTTTTTTTTTGAGACAGAGTCTCGCTCTGTTACTCAGGCTGGAGTGCAGCGGCGCGATCTCGGCCCAAATGATTCTCCTGTCTCAGTCTCCGGAGTAGCTGGGATTACAGATGCCCACCACTATGCCCAGCTAATTTTATGTATTTTTAGTAGAGACGTGGTTTCACCATGTTGGTCTGGCTGATCTCAAACACCTGATCTCGTGATCCGCCCAACCTCAACCTCCCAAAGTTCTGGGATTAAAAGTGTGAGCCACCGTGCCCAGCCAATCTGCCAGATTTTCTTAATGAAATGTTGACCCACAAGATTTTTATTAAACTCCTAATAATGTAGTACACCAATTAGACATAGCATAACACAATGACTTATTTTCATTATTCATTATTTTTCATTTTCCATTAATAGCTCAGCAAAAACCGTCTGATGTTTACATTCAACATTATCTGAACTTTATTGCAAACATACTCCAGGAAAATACCATAAAATGTTTAGGTGGTTTTCCCTTTAAAATAATCAGAATTGCATATTGACAGACACCACGAGTAAATCGCACTGAACAAATAACACTAGCCAATTTTCTACCAATTTCAAATATGTGCGCTTGCTTTCATTTACCTGTCTGTGTCTCTAATTTCAAAACCTTCAGTAATCCATCTTCGCCGCCGCATGCTATGAACCCTTGTTCCTTGTTCCAGGATATACACTTCAGCTTCACTTTATTGGGAATGGATATCTGTAAAAGTAATCACAGCCAGACTAACAACTTTCGAAGGAGTTGGGAAGAAAGTCTACAGAAGGCTGAAGAAAATCTTCCAAGAAGAAAAACGGACGGCCTTGCAGAAAAAAAAGTGAGCTATTGTGAAAATGAGCATGGTCCCCTGGACTGACACGGGTTCTACCATTTGGGAAAGAGGGAAAGAAGTGCACAAAAGAGAAGGTTAATGACTGTGGAGGAAGCCAACGCTGGAGTCACCGGATGGATTTTTAAAAGGGAGGGCGGGGACAGGGTATAAATATCACCAGTCCCTATTCCTTTTTACACACACAATACTTAGGCTATCCTATTGTTACTTCTTTTCTCTTCCCCAACGGCTGGTAGCGATCCAAAGAGTTTATAAATCACGTGGATCAGCAACAAGTGGAAGAGGAAAGATAAGGTAGCACGTGTCAATTTACCCTGGAGCCACGCAAAAGGACCTAGCCAGGGGCAGGGAGAGTGCTGCGATTGGGCTGCAGGCTCAGCCAAGGACTGGTCCGGGCCTCTGGGAATCGCAGGAGGAGGTCGGAGGCTGGACCCGGCGGGAAGGATGGCTGCGGGATGGCAAAGCCGCGATCCGAACCCGGTGAAGCCGCAGGGCTTCTTGGGAAGGCAGCAGGAATCGCCGCAGGCTGCGGGAATACCGGAGAAACGAGGACACCCCTCGGGAAACTCACTTTCTTGGTCAGGTAGAAGAACATCGTGGGCCCTCCTAAAGGGTCACAGTGGCCGCTAAGGCCCACGACAAGTAACGGTTCTACACCTCCAATCGGGAGTACTAGCAGCTCCGGAAAGCTCCCGTCGCCCTGGCAACTGCTGCTTCCCGGTCGCATCCGGGTCGCCGGGGGACACTTCCGGTGACGCCTTCGCACCGGGCACCGGCGTAGTGCGCCTGCGCGGACGTCGTTGGGTTTGTGGGCGCAGAGCGGTAGCTTGGGTTGTCCTGTCCCGTACCCAGACTTCTGTGCCTTTCTGCTCTCCTCGAGAAGCTGGGTCGCGACCTGTCACTGCCAGCCGTGCGCTCGCCCTCTGCGCCGTGTCTCATGGTCCCTGGCCGCCCTACCTCCCGCCATACACCTCTGATGGTCGTGATGGAGCCGCGTCTCAGGTGTCAGCACTATAAACCGAGGAGGAAAGGCGCCCGTTCGAATAAGTGCAAATGATTTAATGTTTTGTAAGCCCCAAAGTTCCAGCATTCTTGAAAGAGAAAAGCCATGTACTGTATTTGATAGGTTGGCGCTACGGGCCAGATGAAAGTGCAAATGTGCATATTGAAATCTTGCAAACCTCTGTGTCTTTGGGGATTCGAGAACCCTCTGGAGCAATTTAGGAATAGGAGATTTTGTGTATTCTGCTTGTTTTGACATTTTTTAACAGTTTAAGATATTACCGCAACCCCAAGGGTTCTTTTAAAAGGAATTTGTATAAACTTTAGGTAATTATAGCGTACAATTGCTATTGGGCATAGCCTCCTGTTTTACAATATTTGAGCGTTTGGTGTTTTCTCATCTAGAGTCGACTGTTACATATTCTCTTATTTTTCTTACCTTATTTTTTTCTTCGTTCTCCTTTGTCCTTTTTGAATGCCTGAGAGTTAGAAAGCCTCAAAATCTAAGGCATAGGGCAGAAATCCAAGTAGAACCACTCTCATGAAATTATTTGGTCTCAACCATGTTTTTATTTATTTCTGGTTTTCTCTTTTACCATAATATAGCATGTAATTTATGCATCAGTAGTTAATTTTCCCACTTGGAGTCTTTTCCCATCTCAGACCAAAAAAAAAAAATGCTCCAATCCTTTAACCTGGGTAATTTGCCTCACCCAGCACAATCTATTACAGAACTGACAATAGTTCCTAGTGCCTTTCCTAGAGAACCTAAACTCCACCCAAAATCAGATCTCCCTTCAATCCTAAATGTTTTCACAAGGGAACCCCCACCTTAAGTAAGCCAATGTGCTTTCTGCGGGTTAAAATTCCATCAGGCTCTGCTTCACAAGCTACTTTATATATTCTGTGATGGTCCGAACCTCTTAACAAGCCAGTTGTGCTTAGCCAACCAGCACAAATTAGTCTCCCGGAGGAATTCTTTCCAAACTTAGCTCAATCCCATTCAGATAATACCTTTGTTTTCCATTGTCTGTGCATCTGTTTAAGATACATTGGCCTCTGCCCATAGGCTCCCTATACTGGACGCATGAGACAAATTAGTATCATCTAATCCAGGAGTTTCCAATAAGCTGGTCAAGACATGATAAGTTGAAGCTAAGTGAAACTCACCTCTCTTTAAATATCTTACCCTTCTTGCACATGAACTCCCATTTATTCCTTTATACCACCGTTTCTCTGTGGTATATTAATATGTATGTACTGATTTGGGGCTCAAACAAGTATGGAAAATACTACTGTAACTCTATGTCATGGCCTTTCAAAATTTTTGACAAGTAACAATATATGTTTTATATAATATATATTTCCTTTGTGTATTCCGTTTTTGTTCCTTAAAGTTTATATTTTATATTTACATCTGTAGGTGATATGTGCTTTTCAGGAGCTTGTATTAATGTAAAGTTCATCATTATTTAACTAAATTCAGATAATTTTATATTAAAGCCTTTCTGTTGAACCTGAACTTACACTTTTAGCCTCAAGAGTGTGAGATTAAACTATAGGAAGAGTATTAAATTTCTGTCTTCTGATAAGAAACTGTTGAATATCAAAATAATTGTTAATTCCGTATAATTTAAGGAAATATGTTTAATAGACAAAATTGATGATGAGTCATCAAAAAACACGCAATATGTAAAGGTAATAACTTTTATTATATTAAAGACAATACAAACCAAAAAAAGAATTGAGCAGTGCAAAATTTAAAGGACTGTTTTGTTCTAAAAGTTGCAAGTTTCAAAGCCAAAAAATTATATGTATCAAATATATAAGTAAAAAAAAGTTAGGCTTTCACACCTGTAATCCCAGCACTTTGGGAAGCTGCGGTGGTTGGATCACTAACATCAAAAAGACAACATTAGCTTTTGTCGACTTACAGCAATTTTATAAATATATAACTTTATTAGTTGGATCCTAAAGCAAAATAATAAAGTAAATTTAGAGTTTTTTGTACTTGGTAAAAAGTTTAACGCCCTAAATTCTCAACAAGTGCTCTTTATTAGTACATTTCTTCTAAAGACCAGAATGAATTAAAAATGGCAATATAATGTTCACTTGATCTATGTTAACTATTTTTAGATATGTGTATTACAATCTATTGATCACATCTTCAATAATACTCCAACAAAATAAGCAAAAAACAAAGTGTTAAACAGTTCAAAATTATATTCATTGCATTTATATGAAGCTGTACGTGTAAATACCTTGTACAATTTGCACTTAGTAATAAGATTGATTTATATTATAAATATTATCAAAAGAAACTAGACCTAAAGTTTCCATCGTGAATATGGTTATCTAATATAAACATTTAAAAATTAAATGGCTCAATTAGTAGATACAGAAACAAACTTTTCATTCTATTTCCTACCAACCATTTCACAGTCATAAGTTAGAGACATTAAAGTTTGCTCTTAATAAGGATCTGTGTATTTATTTCCTTGAAAAAATGATGCTGATCCTTCAGAAGATCTTCATACAACTTATCCAGTAATATTCAAGCATTAATACAGCTTATGGCAAATTATTAGCAGGAACATTGGCAATAACAGGTGTGCAAAAGAATGCATGAATATTAAGTATACCAAGCTGTCCACATTTCCAGCTCCGTGAAATTGGAGCAATTTAACGATGTATTTGTCCATATTCATTTACTTTCAACTTCTCCAAAATGTCATCAAGTGGCAAGTTGTTAAGGCCAATACTGTTTATTTTTACACGTTAGAAAATGTAAACACACTTTCAAACACTCAACACAAGATAATTATGTCCTGTGATAAGTGAAAAAAAAAAGCAAAACTGTTTTTTCACCAAAAGTTGAATTCAGTCTAAAACTCAAAAATCCTATTCTTCAGAGATCACAATAAAAGTAGACCACGGCAGTGGTCTTCAGATGTTTTTGTTCACATAAAATTTAATTGGAGCGGCACCTTCATGGGAGGGATGGGAGAAGCAATGTTTATGAAGTCTTGGTTAAAGGGATTGTTGGATTGTCCCTTTGTTTGGCTCTCTCAAGATTCTACTTTTCTAAGAAATGCACCTGAGTAGATCTAGGGTAAGTGAGAAATATGCCTTTCTTATGTAAAGATAGGAGAATGGTGATGCCGAAATGAGAGATGAGAAAAGAAAATAACAACTGATTCCAAGTAGCATCTTAAGCAAGTGAAAGATTTGTAAATTGATCCTTTGAAACTATCTGTACCTCCCTTAAAAGTCTCTGCATATGCCTAGATTACCACAATCTGAATTCCACTCCTCTGAGGTACATAGGAACAGAGTTGTTAACTTGAACTGTTCTGATAAACTTTTCTGGAGTTATTCCTTTGGAGAAAGAACTGATTTTGAATGTTTCTGAGGCTGTATCATGTTACATTTTAAAATCTGCTTTTTGACCACTTGGCTAGTCAAAGTGTACAACTGTGTGTAATCTGAGGTATCACAACCCATTCATCAGCTGACTTGCTTTTTGCATGTACAGATTCTGAACTCAGCCATATTAAGGAATCATTAGCATAAATGTTCCATCTGTTATGTAAGAGCATCATTAGGGGCATATACAGTTATGGAAAAGCACTAGGGAATGAAATAGGCAGGTTTTATGTGTAAATACTCAATGAGTGAAACAGTGTATTAAACCATGAGAAAATAACTCTAAATTTTAAGTTGTATATTACTACTGCTCATATTAAACCTTAACAAACCAGTCACTTGCCTGTGGAATGTCTTAAAGTGTTTGGCTCAATTGTAGTACCTAGGTTGGCTCCAGGCAGAAGCATAAAACCTTCCAGAAAGGATATGTTTAGTGTTCAGTCTCTGAAGATACGAGCTGACCTTATCTTGGAATGCCAATGTAGCTTCACATCCACAAGCATCTTCAGTGGAAACGAGTCTTCGTGCTTCCTCAATCACTGAAGACAATGACAGTACACAAATATACTATGTAGGAATAGCTATCTAGGAATCATAACAAATCAGGAAATCCACAATCAAATATTTCCACCATTAAGACTTACCAAAGTGCATTTTCCAAGAGGGAAAGGAATATATGAACAAACAAAAAGATGAGAAAATACTTATTATCACAGAAAAATTTGTCTTAGGAGTCATTGGCAAAAATGTTTATAATTGTCAAGCTAAGTGATGCTTAAATGAGTGTTCATGATTTTCTTTCCTGTACTTTTGTGATTGCCAGAAATTATTCATGATATAAAGTAAATTTAGAAAAACATGGTTGATATGGGGGGGAAGGATATAGAGATAAGACAGTGTTCATGTTATGCTATGTAATTAAGAAATGAAAATGGGCCTGGTACAGCGGCTTATTCCTATAATGACAGCACTTTTGGAGTCTAAGGCAGAAGGATTGCTTGAGGCCAAGTTTGAGACCACCCTGGGCAACAAAGCAAGGGCCTGTCTCTACAAAAAAGCAAAACAGTTAGCCAAGCATAGTGGCACACACCTGTAATCCCAGCTACTTGAAAGGCTGAGACGGGAGGATCACTTGAGCCCAGGAGTTCAAGGCTGCAGTGAGCCACGATCACACCACTGCACTCCAGCTTGAATAACAGAGTAAAACCCTGTCTATTAAAAGTAAATAAATAAAACTAGGACAATAGTCCTCTATTTGTGTGGCCAAAATATATCAAAGATGAAAACAAGGCTCAGGCGCAGTGGCTCACACCTATAATCCTAATACTCTGGGAGGCCGAGATGGGTGGATTGCTTGAGGTCAGGAATTGGAGACCAGCCTGGACAACATGGTGAAATCCTGTCTCTACCAAAAATACAAAAATTAGCCAGGCATGGTGTCATGCACCTGTCATCCCAATTACTTGGTCGACTAAGGCAGGAGAATTGCTTGAACTCTGGAGGAAGAGGTTGCAGTGAGCTAAGATGGCACCACTGCACTCCAACCTGGCTGAGAGAGTGAAACTCCATCTCAAAAAAACAAACAAAAAAAAAGATAAAAACTAGGTTAAGTCCTGATTTCCTGTAGAGGACTGTTATGGTTTGAAGTGAGAGTCTTAGTTCTTGCCAGTAAATACTTTGAAACTAAAAATTCAGGTTTGTATTGACATTTAATCAAATATGAGAGGCGATAAAAGTAACTCCTATTTCTTTCTGTAATTCAGTGAGGCAGCTATTCTTACTCTGTATCAGGGCTCCTCCTAAAGTTGTGAATAGAAATAAGACTAGCTTCCCAGGTCTGAAGACTGGTGTATCATTTTCCTATGGAGTAATGCTATTATTACCTGAGGACAGGAAATGGTCCTTTGCTGCAATATTTTTACTCTAACATTTTACAAAGATCCAATGTAGGGATGGGAGATCACAAATACATTAAATGTAATCTATCATCTATCCACCTGTCTAAATCCTATTGAACCTTTTAGGGACAGCCAGCCCAAATCCCATCTTAGTTAATCAGTCAATAAACCAAGAATTATCTACTGAATATCAACTACATGTCCATCATCCCTGTACCCATAAGATGAGTACATATAATACTTGTTCAGTGTCTGTCTTTAAGTTCTATGAGGGCATGGGCTCAGTGGGATATTCTAATTAAAACACTTCATAGAAAATTGTAGACCTGGGTTACAGCAAAATTGAAAATTAAGAAATGGAGAAATGGTGCTTATAATAGCACCAGAAAGAATAAGATAGTTAGGAATAAATAGTTTTTAAAGTGCAGGACTTGTACACTGAACACTATAAAATAATTTTGAAAGAAATTAAAGAAGAACTAAAAAAAAAAGAAAGGACAAACCACATTAATGGAACGAAAGACTCTTAAAATGGCAGTACTCCCCAAGTGGATCTCTAGATTCAATACAACGTAGCTATCCAGTGCCCCAGCAACATTTGTGAAAAAGACTGTTCTTTCCCTTATTAAATTGTCTTAGTACCCTACTACCCAACTTAAGACTTAAAACATTATGACTACTGTTAAACAGACATCATTTAAAAAGCAAAATGATAGAAGATATTTACAATAAGTAAAAACAAAAAATAACTTACAATGTGAAGAGTTCCTATGAATCAATAAGAAAAATACAAATAACCCAATTGAAAAATATAAAAAGGACATAAATAGCATTTCCAAATATGGAACTCGTGACCAATAAGCATAGGAAGAGATGCCTCACCTCATTAGTAACCGGGAAATGAAAAAATCCACTACATTGGCAAAAATTTAATTCAACAAAACCAAATGTTACCAAGAATGTGGTTCTTAGATCCTGACAAGCAAAAGCATTGAGGGGAGAGTGAAAACAAGCGAGTGCAGGGCATGCTCCTGGACCATCAAACAGCCTGCTGTGGCTGGACCATGGGACGCGGGCAGAAGCAGTGAATCTGGGGGCAAATAGAGGAGAAAAGTTTTAAAAGCCAGGATGAGGCAAGTAGTTCCCACAGGCTGCGGGGCGTGGGTGATGGGCAGTTATTGTTTCATGGGTAGAGTTTTGGTTTGAGATGATAAAAGAAATTCTGGAGATGGATAGTGGTGATTGTTGCACAACAATGTGAATGTACTTAATGCCACTGAACTCTACACTTGAAAATAATTGATATGGTAAATTTTATGTATATTTTATCACAATAAAAAAATCCAGACTTAGGCAGAAAGTTTAATTAGAAAGAAAAATGTGAAAAAGAGAGAAGACAAAGAGATCATGGAGGGTAGGCTGCCTGGTGGAGTATCACTGTTTTATTCTGTAGACCAGTGGAGAATGCTAGAGAATTCTGACAAGGAGAAAGAATCACAACTGTGCCTTAGACAGAAAGAAAAAAGCTTCCTCCTGAAAAAATTCTCAAACCAAAGGAAATCGCCTTAAAGGGCTGGTCCTCACCTGAGCATGTTTTCTTGTCCTCATTCAAGGTGTAGCCAGGATAACAATCACAGTGGTAGGATGTGGCCCCATCACTCACACAAATGTGCTGGCAACCATGAGAGCCTAGGGCACACTTGTCACGGACTGACCACGAGTGGTGCAGGAAAGAAAATATTCACACATTAATTAAATAGAAAAGTAAACACAAACATCTGAGAGAAGAAGCTTCCATTTGGTCCCCGCAAGTGCTGACAATCAACCCATCAGTAGTCAGCAGCAGGCCCCATGCTGCAGGAGCAAGCCTGTTTTCTCTTCCCATACCTCTCATCCCTTTGGCCTCACAGCACACATGCTCCTTTCCTTTTTATCTCTCACAGATATCTAAGGGTGCCTTTTCTTTTTTTCTACCCACAGCACTGGGCAGCACTGAGTCTTGACTCTATTCCAGAACTTACTTCCAGCCTTTCCCGACCACCACCAATGCTTCCAGCATCCCTAGCTCTCATGGATCATCGTCATGATCATCACCAAAAATAATGTTGTAGGGACCTAATCATAAACGGAGCTAAGTCTGATGCTGCACCAAAAGCTCTACATTGACCAAGTGCCTGCCTTCATAGCTTACAAAGTGGAACAGAAAACACTGACCTGGAGATACACGTGCGCACACACACAAGTACAGATGGGGAAATAATACTGCGTTAGTAACTATGATGTGTACGCTTAGAGAGCAAAGTGCTTACTATCTATCACAAACAAATAACATTTCAGGGACAAACGCAGTTTGCCCAAGTTTGAGTGGAGAACAGAGCAAATTGCCATACTTGTCCCATGTTCAGACTGGCCTAGGACAACTAAAACAGCAATTCTCCTTTAAAACCCAGAAAGACTTCCTGGAAGACACAGGTTCCTCCTCTGCCATTGCAGGAACCAAAATAGTTCTTTATTTCCTTCTAATTTTCCTCTTAAATGTCATTTCATGTGCAGAACTTTTGTGGCTCACTAGTGCCTATAGAATAGCATTGTGTGAAATGCATGGCACCATATAATCTATACATAAAGTGCCTTTCCAACCTTAATATGGCTATTCCTTTTCAGTGCTACAATTTACATTTGTTTTCAGCAAAATGCCTTATAGCAGGGTGTTTCATGTTTTTCCCCCTCATTCCATCTTAGTACCCACTCTACAGGTAACAAATGGACATGCTTCCAGCCCTGGCCCTGATCTAGGGCTCTACATTTAATTTACAAGCCTTCCTACCACTAGCAAGGAAAAAGCAGACCATTACAAGGGATCTGCTCCATGGTACGTTTCCCACCTTTATAGCAGTATTCACTATTCCTTTTTTTCTTTTTTCTTTTTTTTGAGACGGAGTCTCACTCTGTTGCCTGGCTGGAGTGTCGTGGCGCAATCTCGGCTCACTGCAATCTCGACCTCCCAGGTTGAAGCAATTCTCCTGCCTCAGCCTCCTGAGTAGCTGGGACTACAGGTACATACCATCACACCCAGCTAATTTTTTGTATTTTTAGTAGAGACAGGATTTCACCATGTTGGCCAGGATGGTGTCGATCTCTTGACCTTGTAATCCACCCACCTCGGCCTCCCAAAGTGCTGGGCTTATAAGCATGAGCAACTATGCCTAGCCATTCACTATTACTTTAAAATATATAAAATATATAAATAGGCCAGGCACGGTGGCTCACACTTTGGGAAGCCAAGGCAGGTAGATTGCTTGACTTCAGGAGTTTGAAACAAGCCTGGGCAAAATGTCAAAACCCCATCTCTACAAAAAATACAAAAATTAGCCAGGTGTGGTGGCATGTGCCTGAAGTCCTAGCTACTCAGGAGGCTGAGGTGGGAGAATCACTTGAGCCTGGGAGGTAGAGGGTGCAATGAAGCCAAGATCCCACCACTGCACTCCTGCCTGGGTGACAGAGTGAGACCCTGTCTCAACAAAGAGAAGAAAACAACAAATATATACTAACTTTCCCACTAGTACATCTTTCTCTTCTGTTCCTCTTTGCTGTCCTGTGCTTTGTACACTAAGACAGTATGGCTTAGGGGTTAAGAGCCTATGTAACCACCAGGGCAAGTACCTGGGTTCAAACCCTGGCTCTGCTCCTTACTAGCCGAGTGACCATGGGCAAGTTACTTAATCAGCTTCCTCCTAAAGCTGCTGTGAGTATTAAGCGGCATTACTGTAGCTAAAAGGCCTAGAATCCTGCATGGCCTACAGTAGGCATTGAAGAATATGGGCTGCTGGCATCTGGGAGTATTGTCTGCCTTAATTGAAAATTTTCTTTGATCTATGTTTTTTAAAAATAAATTGCTTCACTTTATTCCATACTATCTGTTAGTCTGAATGGAAATCTGTTTTTGGTTTGTTTGCCCAGGTCTTCAATGTTCCTGGCAGCTTAAGGTACCAACTGGGACACTTGCCACTAGTTTGAGAAGTGCAGCCATAGGTGAATCCTCTCCACCAAACTTTCTTAGTCATCCTGCCCTGAACAAATAAATCAGCTCAAGCCAGTCCCCTGCCAGTGCCACTTTGCTCTTCTCTCAATTGAAACCTTCACTGTCCTTCAAGACCCAACACCAGCCCTTCACAGATGCCCACCTCCCCAGCCTCTATAGCCCTTAGTGTCCATCAGTCCTCTCCCTGGCTCAGTCTCTGCTTTCAGAAGGAGCTGGCTGTCTGCTGGTGAGTTGCAAGTTGGTTTCACTGTAAAAGGCCCAAGTATGAAAGAATTTGTTGAGTGGATCTTACCTGAACATGTTTTTTTATCTGCATTCAGAGTGTAGCCCTCATAGCATTCACAGTGATAGGAACCTGTTCCGTCATTCACACAAATGTGCTGACACCCATGGGTACCCAAAGCACATTTGTCTTGAGCTGTGAAACAAAAATTCGCCCAGCCTTAAGTTATTCAGAGGCAGAAACTTATGCTTCTTTATATGCTCACAATGCTTAGTGCCATACTGGGAACAAAGTAGGTGCCTAGTACTTTTCATTGGTTTCCTTTAAAAAAAAAAATGGGGGGACTTAGTGACATGCCATTTCCTTCGTTTATCTTGAAGTCTATATCTCTTCAAGGGAGAGGAAAATATACATCAAATCTAAAACACATTCCGTATGCCAAAGCTAAATGCCACCTTGAGAGCTTGGAATTTCTCTCAGAAGTTTTTTTACGTTTATAAATGCCTCCCTGTCCTGCCAGTAAGTTTAAATCAAATTAATGAGGATTAACAGCAATGGCATGGGCTCATTGGCCAATGTATAAGGCTTAGTGTCACTGATGATTGATCATCTAGAAACTGCCAGGGAGTGACTGGCCTCAAACTTACTGGAAGATTTGTGTGGGTCTAATTCAGACATTCACAAAGTCTTCTTTACTGAAATCATCCAGCTTTAAGATTAACACTACAGAAAACTTCCAGGCCAAGTTTTAACTGGAAAAAGATCAGTTCATCCTATCATACCAAATAGTTTCTGTCCAACTGACTTCCATCAAAATTTCCTCTTTGCTTAAAAGTGCTCAGTGTACAGAACTATAAAATTTTCCTGGATAAAGACCCTACATTTAATTAGCTTTTCTCACCCTCCCTCCACTCCCTACCTATTTCCCAGTAATTTTCTGAAGTAATCTATGTTTGCTCCAGTGAGCTCACCACCCTCTAAGCAATGTGTACCTTCATCTAAAAGTGTGGTAGCATGTCTGAGCCTTGATTCCTTAAGTTACCTTTAAGAACCTCTTTGCTGATGAGTTGCAAGTTGGTTTCACTGTAAAAGACCCAAGTATGAAAGAATTTGTTGAGTGGATCTTACCTGAACATGTTTTTTTATCTGCATTCAGAGTGTAGCCCTCATAGCATTCACAGTGATAGGAACCTGTTCCGTCATTCACACAAATGTGCTGACACCCATGGGTACCCAAAGCACATATGTCTTGAGCTGTGAAACAAAAATTTAGGAGAAAAGAAATAAACGGTGGAAGAGTCTTTTATTACCCATGGATAGAAACCTTATTTGCAGCTAGAAACATGTGAGGAAAACTTACTGCAAACTATTCAAAGTCATTGGCGCTATTTTTTCTAAATAGAAGTTAACTGAGTTAAATGAAATCCTGCACATACAATAATTATTCTCTGACCTTCCCCAATTTCTTCTCAAAATCATCAGTATTGAGTTTTTACAACTTAAGTATCTCATAAATACTTTCTAAAGCATTCCTTTTAGGCCTATTAAACTTATCCCAACTCAGAGGGATACCAACAGTTGTGTAACTAATTATACTGGATTCAGAAAGACATAGAAATAGAGTTTGAAGAAATTATAGTTCAACCCTCTCCTATTTTTAAGATGAGAGAAAGGAGCCCAAGGGAGACCAGTTGATTCAGAGCAGCATAAGAACTCAAGACACAAATTTTCATTCAATGCACTTTCCTCTGTACTGATATATTTTTAAACTATTTTTTATTTTAAAACTATTTTTTATTTTTAAACTTTTAAGATAATTTCAGATTTATAAAAAAGTTGCAAAAACAGTGCAAAAATTCCTGTACTTCACCCTGTTTCCCCAAACAGTAATTTACATAACCATAGTATGATTATCAAACTAGAAACTAACATTGATATACTATGATTTACTAATCTACAGACATTATTCAAATGTTGCCATTAATGCCCTTTTTCTGGTCCAGGACCCAATCCAGAATTCCACATTGCATGAAGTTTCACATGTCCTCCAATCTGGGACACTTCCTACATCGCTCTTTGTCTTTTATGACTTTCACACTTCTGAAAAGTACTGGAAACTATTTTGTGAACTGAGAACGTCTCTCAAGTTGGATTTTTCTAATGTTTCCTCGTGATCCTGAATTTTTAGCAAGAATACTACAGGTGTGCTGTTGTGTCCACAGTATTGAGCCCAGCATGTCAGGTCATTCATAATGTCACTATGTGTCATCACTGATGATGTGAACTTTGATCACTCGGTTAAGGTGATGTCTGCCAATTTCTCCACTATAAAGTTATTGTCTTTCCCTTTGTAAGCAACAAGTACCTGTGGGTTGTTATGTGATTCAACCTACTAAATTGTCTGTAGCACTTGGGAAGAACTGTTCGGGCTGGGTACAGAGAAGGAAATGTGCAACACATGTATATGTTTGGGCGGAGATCCATACATGTTACCATTTCTAACGTTTTGGATAAGACTTAGAAATGGGAAAAGCTCAAGGTGCCAAAAGAGGAAAACACACCTACTTCCCAGTCAGTGTGACCTGCCCTTCCATCACTGGGTAGGTAGGCAAATAGCTAAGCAGCAATAGGAAAGGTTCTCCCTCACTTACCTGAACAAGTTTTCCCGTCTTCATTCAAGGTATAACCTTCATAGCACTCACAATGATAAGAGCCACTTCTGTCATTCACACAGACGTGCTCACATCCATGGGTGTTAAGAGCACACTTATCAAGAGCTATCAAAAGATGATTGAGACAAATGTAAATGCATGCAAAGCATGGCAGCAATAAATAATTATGGGTCATGCCACTTACACACACACACACACACACACACACACACAGACACACAGAGAGAGAGAGAGAGAGAGAGAGAGAGAGAGAGAAGTGCTAATAAAACAAGGGAGGGGTGGCTGGGAGTTGGGAACCAACCCTCTGGTCTTGGCTCTTTCACTGACAGATCCTGTGACATGGGTAAGTTTTCTCCTTTCTGTCCATATCAATTTCATTATCTATAAAATTAAATTATCTCTAAGTTTTCCTTCTCTCAAAAACTTTTTTCTAAGATTAAAAAAAAAAAATCTAATTCCCATTCCTCATTAACTCCATGTACGTATCTATGTACCAGACCAGTGAGTACCCCTCTAACTTTCCTACTTCTTCTAGATTCCATGAGCATCTATGACTATAGAGAGGAAGACAGTAGCTTGTGTGTAATTAAATAAAATCCAGGAAAAATTCCAAATCCTCAAAAGGACTGAGAATCTTGGACCTTGTCTTTTCCCCCTTTCTTTTTTGTTTTTGTTTTTATGAGACAGGGTCTCCCTCTGTCATGCAGTGGCATTATCATAGCTCACTGCAGCGTTGACCTGCTGGTCTCAAACAATCCTCCTGCCTCAGCCTCCCAAGTAGCTGGGACTACAGGCATGCACCACCAAGCCTGGCTAATTTTTTTAAATTATTTTTTGTAGAGATGGGGGTCTTGCTGTGTTGTCAAGGCTAATCTCGAATTAGGCCTCAAACTGTCCTACCATCTCAGCCTCCCCAAATGCGGGAATTATAGGCATGAGCTACTACACTCAGCCTGGACCTCTTTCTTAGTAGCCTTTTCTCCTATGATTTTATTTAAAACTTAAAAGGTATGGAAATAAGCTGATTTACATATTATTTCACTTCCCTCCCTAAGCTCCTTTTCAGGGAAAACTGCTGATGAACAACAGTAAACCAGGCAAAAGGCAGTTGAGTAAAAAGGGGTCAGAGAGTCAAAGCACAAGGGCAGTCCAAAACCTGGAGCATAGGTTCCCCAGTAATTTGATTCAGTCACGGCCCCCTATGCAGGCCTCACCTGAACATGTTTTCTTGTCAGCATTCAAGGTGTATCCTTGGCTACACTCGCAGTGGTGCTTGCCTTCCCCGTCACTGATGCAGACGTGCTGGCACTGATGTGTTCCAAGCTCACAGGGGTCCAGTGCTGTGCAGAGGAAGTTTGCGACGGTCAGCATTGACACTCAGGAAACATCTCAGATACTTTCTCCCAGGTCAAATAGACATTGCTCTCCAGGTTCCTTTCCCAGACTATCTTTACTTCACTATAAAAATTGGCTGTTTTCTGCCTCTGGCTTATTAGCAATGCTACTCTTAAACTAGAAATCTTACTAATTTAAAAGTACACTTCTTGCTATATAGACTTTCTCAAAGGAGAAAGGGAATTTGAAACTTGGAACTGAAGCCAAACACTTACACAGGCCAGGCGATTGATGTTTTATTTGGCTTATCCACGTCCCTATGAAGAAAAAATGTGTTCTTCCCCACCACAAGAAATGGGAGAACAATAATGCACAGCCTGAAGTGCTACGAGCTAGTCGTCCCACTGTAGCCAGAATCTGATTTCTAAGAGTTGTATAGTCTATGTCTAAACAGAATTCTCACACAAGCATATGTCTAAGCCTAGAATGAACTCACAGGTGGGCAGTGGTACATATGGTAGAGGGCAATGAGGGTAACTGTTTTCTGAGTATTTAAGATGAGTGAACTCATCCATACGCTAAATCCGTAATGAACTCATATGCTAATACAGACAGGTAAAAAGAAAAGGAAGATCAAAATAAATGAGATTACATTAGGTAAACTACATCTCCAACTTTTTGCTCCTGGAGTGATTTATGTCTCATTGGATATTTTTTTCCTAGTGGCCTGTTTTGAAAGATGAATCAATGAATTAAGTCATTTCTGAGAAACCAAGGAGGCCTGTTGGAGGAGGCTGGCCCTCCTATGGCAGGTAACCCAGCCTCCACTGCGCTTGGCAACAGGACAAGGCTAATATTTTCCCAAGAAGGGCCTTTTCATGCAACGATCTTTCCAAGCAGTTGACTACAACAAGCTGCCCCTCAGTCTTTTTTCCATAGAGAGGGCATTTTTCTCCCAGAACAAGCAGATCTTTTGTACCATAAGGAAAAGATTGCCACTCACCACTTGTTACTTTACAGCCTTTGAAGCCCAACCCCAGGTGCTAGCTTTGAAACCCAACTTTGCCACAGACCAGCATGTTGATGGAAAAGCTCTCACCCACAAGCATGGAGTGGGAGGGTGATTTCCTGGGAGAAAGAAAGCCACTTTCTTTTTGGAAGCCAACGAATGCCAAGTAGATGCTACCAAAGCCAGTGATGGCTTGTGAAAGCCTAGTGTCCTGGGACAGGAAAGACAAGGGGATCCCAGCCAAGTTTGGCTGCAATGAGGCCAAACTTTGCCCAGACCAAGACTTCATCCCCCTTTTCCTGCCAAACTGTTGATGGCTGGGTTTCGCATTAACTTAGATTAAAAGTCTCTTTGAAATTTACAATTGTAATTAATTATTGGTTCATTTGTTTGTTTCACTCCCACCCCTAGAATGTTACTTGATGGTAGGGAGGGATTGCTTTTATCTTTTTACCATCAGAGGTCAATAAATACATGCGTGGAACAAATTATATTGCAAAAAGATATCTCTGTTTACAAATTCACCTAAACTAGAAATTTGTCCACAACTGCTTGGATATTCACATACAGGCATCAAAAGATTATTTCCAGATGATACAAAATAAATCATGAGTCCCACAAATCATAATTCTGACCAGTGAGTAAAAATAAACTCCAGCATTAAATGGATCTGTATTCCTAGATTTGATCAATTTACGCTAAAAATTCCAATAAAATTAGCCCATTCTTATTCAAATTCCATCCTAAAGGATGGAGGGAGTAGCAGAGTAACAGAATGATTTCTTAAGATCATCTTGCTTTCCTTCAAGTGCACTGAAACCCTAATCTGCCTGGTCCCTGAATCCCATTGTTCAACAAAGAGTAATCAGATAGAGGGCCCAATCTGAAAACAAGAGCGTTCACTAACTGTGCGCTGGGGCTGATGGTGACGTTGGAATAGAGGCCTGCTGACTCTTCCAAGGACAGACGCTGCTCCCTGCCTTCTACAGGAGAACAAACAGAGTTCTGTTAGATCTAGAGATGGTAAAACTAAAAAAATATGTATCAGGGGGAAAAAATGTAGTGGTGGGCAGGGAGGGCAGGAGAGGCATCTTGAGTTTTGTTTTTCCTTATCCTTACAGAGAACAGCGGGGTCATTTATCCTGGATGTTTGCAGACCTTCACAGTTCTAATGCAAACATGAAGATTTTATGAGGAAACCAAGTTTCATATAATACAGCTCTATATTCCTAAACCAACATAGTGTGCTTAGGTTGGTCACACGTGCGCATGTGTGCACGTGTGCACGTACGCACGCGCGCGCGCACACACACACACACACACACACTCACACACAGGATATATTTAAGTTTTTCATTAAATTTCCGCCAAAAAAGAAAATAAAACTATTTTCTCTGGGTATATAATGTCTGAATATAATAACATCCTTTCTAGTTGGAAGCAAAGACTGACCAACTTACCACAAAAGGTTTCCTGGAATCTAGAGGACAGTTTCTCAATGACCCCATAAGTCTCCACATAGAAAACATGCTCCTCTAGAGGCTCACTGGCCATCATCTTGAGAGACTCCATGTCTGCCCGGTCCACACCCACAGCATAGAGCTCAATACCAGATGCTCGGGCCCGAGCCGCCACCTCATTCACCTGGTCCTGGGGCCTCCCATCTGTGACAATAATGGCCACCTTAGGAATGTTAGAGGAGGGCCCTCGAGCACCTGCCTCCACTGTGAAGGCTTCATCCATTGCTGTCTGGATGGCCAGGCCTGACATAGTGCCTGTTGACAAGGGTGTGATTCGACCCACAGCCTGCTTCAGGGACTGCTTATCTGTGTAGGCCTGGAGTTGGAACTCAATCTTCACGGTGCTAGCATAGTTCACTACTGCCACCCGTGTGTCGGCCGGCCCAATGTCCAGAGTGTCGATTATCCGGGAGACGAAAGTTTTCACTTTGGTGAATTCCAGGGGCCGTACGCTACGAGAGCTATCAATGATAAACACCAGGTCCAAGGGCCTGCTCTTGCAAACACCTGCAAAAGACCAAGCAATGATCAGACCACAGTTAGAAATGCAATAAGCCTCACTTCCAGAGAACTCTGGGATTCCAGGAGGCAAGGCAAGGCAGCATCTCCTGACCCCAACATCACCACGCTTGTGACCTTCTCCAAGACCATCTTCCCTTTCGGTGTTGAAAGCACCAAGGACTTCAGAACTCCCTAGTGAGAATCACCTAGAGATGTGAAGTTTCCCCAAATACCTCACCTGCAGGCTGGCTGAACCCTGAAATTTCACTTAGAACCTCATCCCTCTGCTTAAGCTTTTGCTCCCAAGGTCCCTCAAGATTGCTGGGAATTAATGGATTCTAGACCTTTCTTAAGCACCTTGGCTATCTGGAGCAATTGGACAAATGTACCCCTGAACCATGTAAAAGGCTTTGGGCCCTCAGGGACAGCCTCACTGCAAACCACTGTGCCCAGGCCTCAGGCAATGGCAGTCTGAGGCAAGGCACTCAGGGGCTCTTCTGGTGGCCCCTTTCTTGTACTATACTTCCAAGGGGGTGAAAACTGCTCCAGAACCCCTGAATCCTCCCTCTATCTGGCCATCATTTCTGTTTAGTGAATTTAGGGGCCCACTAGAGCCATGCGCTAATTAAAAGTAGAAAGAGGGATGCCAACTTAATCTTGAATCTGTTTAGTCCACTTCCAACTTCGTGAGCATGTCTCGTAAGAAGCAGGGATTGTGATCTGGTATCTACCCTACTGCGCCATCAAACTCTCTTGGTCATCTCTCTTTCACTTATTCATTCACCAAAAACATTTTTTGAGGGCCTACATGTATGAAGCCCTGGAGCTACAAAAACGAATAAACCAGATTCCCCACCTTTAAAGAACTTATCTCTTTTCTACACAAAAGTACCTGACATACTATAGCATTACAGTACATTTTAGTGTTCAACTATTCTTTCCCATTCTTTCCTGTTTCTCCCAACCCGTTTGCACACCCTCTTTCCTCAATACAAAAATTAAATCCACAATTCAGAATGAGATGAGAAAAAAGCCAATCACTAAACTTCTTTTTTTTTTTTTTTGAGACGGAGTCTCGCTCTGTTGCCCAGACTGGAGTGCAGTGGTGCAATCTTGGCTCACGGCAACCTCTGTCTCATGAGTTCAAGCAATTCTCCTGCCTCAGCCTCCTGAGTAGCTGGGATTACAGGCACGCGCCACCACATCCAGCTAATTTTTGTATTTTTAGTAGAGACGGACTTTCAGCATGTTGGCCAGGCTGGTCTTTAACTCCTGACCTCAGGTGATCTGCCCACTCTGGCCTCCCAAAGTGCTGAAATTACAGGTGTGAGCCACTGTGCCCAGCCCTAAACTTCTTTTTCAAGCCCTTTTTTCCCCTTCTCGCCTGACACACATGCACACGCTTACAGGCATTACCCGCATGCAGCCTAAATGGAAGCGAGGTCCTGGGGCATGAGGTGCCACTCAGGGCTCTTTTCTTTCCTAACAAGGAGGCAGAAGTTGATTACTCTAAGAAGGCAATTCACTTAGTGAGTAGGAAAAAATGTAGATTCAAAATTAATGCCTAGACTAAGCAGTTTATAGAAAAAAAGCCTTACCTGGAACAGTCTACCTTATATGTCTCTGTCTAGTTTTCTTTTAGAAGCAGAAAATTATCTTCTTGTTTTTAGCCTGTTGTTTGGAGGTATTTAAGAAAAATGAAATTTTTCCTTTCAGTAACACTTTAGGAATCACAAGGTACCAACACATCAACCCTGTGAAGCTGGAGGTGCAGAGGTCATTTTTATACCCATTTTACAGGTGAGAAACCTGAGGTTCAAGGAGGTGTGAAACTAGAAAGTGGTAGAGCATGGATTGGACTCCAGGCTTCCAGACTCCCAGCCCCTGGGGGCTTGCTACTGAATCCCAGTCACTTCTGAGACATTTTCCTCCACAAAAATCAATATTCTCTCATGTATTTGGTAAACATCCTGCATGTTGACTTTGAGCCACCACCCTGCAATATGCTGTATGTCATGTATTTAGTTAAGTCAAAAGGAATTAAAGCCAGGCACAGTGGCTCACGCCTGTAATCCCAATACTTTGAGAGGCTGAGGGAGAAGGATCACTTGAGCTCAGGAGTTCTAGACCAGCCTGGGCAACACAGGGAGACCTCATCTCTACAAAAAATTTAAAAATTAGCCAGGCATGGTGGCAGGCACCTGTAGTTCCAGCTACTTAGGGGGCTGAGGTGGGAGGATCGCTTAAAGCCAGAGAGTCAAGGCTGAAGTGAGCCACAATCACACTACTGCACTCCAGCCTGGACAATAGAATGAGATCCTGTCTCTAAAAGAAAAAAAAAAAAAAGGAATTAATTGAAGTTTTTTCTTTATTTAAAAAGACCAACTCCAGCAGCCATAAAAAAGGATGAGTTCATGTCCTTTGGGACATGGATGAAGCTGGAAGCCGTCATTCTGAGCAAACTAACACAGGAACAGAAAACCAGACACCACATCTTCTCACTTATAAGTGGGAACTGAACAATAAGAACGCATGGACACAGGGAGGGGAACATCACACACCAGGACCTGTCCGGGGCTGGGGGCCAAGGGGAGGGAGAGCATTAGGACAAATACCTAATGCATGCGAGGCTTAAAACCTAGATGATGGGTTGATGGGTGCAGCAAAACACCAAAGCACATGTATACCTGTGTAACAAACCTGCAGGTTCTGCATGTGTATCCCAGAACTTAAAGTTAAAAAAAAAAATCTGAATAGCAAACATTTGTCATCAATTGTCTCTAAGGTTAGCCACCATAATACTTCAAAAGAACCTTTGTCTCTACAATCTTTTATCTTAACGGGAACATTTCCTTTCTATGGATCCCAGGTCTTTAGACAAAGTCAACCGTCAACCAGAAAATGTTTAAATTTTCTTATAGCCTGGAAGCCCCACCACCACCAGCTTTGAGCTGTCCTACCTTTCTGGACCAAACCAATGTATTCCTTAAACGTATTTGATTCCTTAAACGTCTCATGCCTCCTTAAATTGTATAAAACCAAGCTGCACCCTGACCACCTTGGGCACATGTTCTCAGGTCCTCTTGAGGGCTATGTCACAAACCATGGTCACTCATATTTGGCTCAGAATAAATCTCTTCAAATAAAAAATAAATTAAAAAAAAAAAAACCTCCAGAATTTGACTTCATTCCTGGAAAGTCCTATAGATCTAGAACTAAGAAGAAGAATTATGTTGAAAATCCTTCCTGGAGATGGGTCAGAGTATTTTTGTATAATTAGAAAAAGAAAGGCAGGGTGGCAACATGAAGATATGAACTCTGTAACTGACAGTTCTTTCACCAACACCCAAATGGTGTCCTTATAAATATCATGGCTATGTTCTTATAACTAGACATATATGATTCCTTCCTTCTCCACTTGGTTATTCACACCAAATCCTCTATTTAGGGTGTGATATGCAAAATTATGCCCCCCCGAAAGACATATGTCCTAATTCCAGAAACATGCTACTTTTATGTGGCAAAGGGTAGAGACTTTGCAGGTGTGATTAAGTTAAAGACCTCCACGTGAGAGGTTATCCTAGATTATTTAGTCAGTCAATGTAATTATAAAGTAGAAGAGGGACGCAGAGGAAAGAAATGTGAGTAACTCAATGTGAAAATGCCTCAATCTGCTTTAGCTAGCTCTGAAGATGGAGGAAAAGGGCCATAAGCCAAGGAACTCCGCAGCCTTCAAGCACTGGGAAGGGAAGGGAAATGGATTCTCCCCTAGAGGCTCCCGAGAAGAACGCAGCCCTACTGACGCCTTAATTTTACCCTACTGAGACCAGTGTCGGACTTCTGACTCACAGAACTCTCAGATAATAAATGTGTGTTGTTTTAAGCCACAAAATTCATAGTGATTTGTTACAGTGGCCATAGAAAACTAATACCTGAGGCTTGATCAGGGTGGCAGAAAATTATGTGAACATCTGGTTCCTTCCTGATTGGTACTCACTCGGCATCAATCATTAGTTGTTTTTGAATCTCACTCCCATTTACTAGATAACAGCAATGTGATTCCCAAGAACAAAGAATCTGAATCTCCTAAAATGTTACCAGACTCACAATACTGTCGAGTCCTTACAGTCCTGCTAGAAATAAAAGCCCATAGCAAAGCTTAGCAATTTCTGGTTGCTAAAAGGAGAGAATTTGGAATCTGGTATCAGGTTCAGACACCAGGTAATAAAAGACCAGTGCAGCTTAGGGGAACATGGCCACCTGGTGCTGAATCTCTCCTTCCCCTTCCAGTCTCATCCCAGAGGGAGGCTGGTCAGGACTAGAGCAAGGTTAACTTCTAGAAGAAAGGCTTTCCCTCAATTCCCCACCTGGAGCAACCAGCTACCAGCTGGATCTAACCCTGTGGACCCTGACACCTCCCGCCTCAGCAGCAATGCTTTCGCCATTTCAAATCTGCCACTTTAAATACTGGAACTGAGTATTTGAATCAGGAAAGAGTCCCTTGAGCTCCCTCTCAGCTTATCCAGAAAGATGCAGAAGGGGTCAGACAATGCAAATCAGCCTGAGGCATGCATCCTGGCTGGCCAGATGAGACTGCATACCCAGAAATGGTCTGGCACAGGCTCTCTTTAGCAAGACTGGAGCTGGGGTTTTTGGAAATAAAGATACAATCTTACGCAAACCATATTAAGAGGTTGGTAGGCTGGGGCAGTGGAAAGAGCTTTGCTTGGGATTTCGGAGCCCTCAATTTTACGGTGGGTTCTGACACTGATTCACAGAGTCCCTTCAAATTGATACGCCTCAGTTTCCCCGCATGTGCTGTCAGGGGCTGTGTCAGACGACCTGCCCACTTCGCAGCACTAGAAGCTTTGCTCTGGTTCAGGAATCAATCACTGACCAAAGAGAGAATTGTCCGCCAAAGACCCAGAGTGTCTTGGTCCTGGGGTAACCTGCGGCTTTTCGGGTCGCCTGGTCTCACACCCCCATCCTTTATTTCCAGGGTGAGGCAGCCTGAGGGCTGCGGGAGGGGAGGAAGGATCACGCCCTGATATTGGCTGGAGACGGAGGGATTCAAAGAGAACTAACAGCAGAATCTCAGGAAGGGTTTGCTGAGGTCAGGATTGGGACGGAGCTGGGCGGCAGCCCCTGCGCTCCCCAGCTGCCCTGTGCTCCGGGCCAAGTCACAGGGGAGGCTGCGTGAGTTAGAGCTTCAGGAGACCCGCATTTCTAGCCTGGACACGAGTGACGTTGGGCATCTCCCTCCCCTTCTCTGAACCTCAGCTTCCCCCACAGGATTCAGCCGGGGAGGGACCTCTTTCTCCCGCTCCACGGTCAGCCTGAGGCCGGCGGCAGAGCGTTTGGGGGATGCCCGGGCTTCTCCTCCTCCTCAGATGCTCACGCGTCCCTCCCGCCGCCAGCCTGTACCTGCGCCGCGGGCGCGGCCGGGCTCGCTGGCCCCTGAAGAGGGCGCGCCGTCCGGAGCCGCGGGAGTGGGGCGGCGTCCAGGGCTGCCCCCGGGGCCGCGGGTCCCCAGCCTCCGGAAGCCCGGGCGGGCCACGGGGTCGGGGGCGGCGGGGAGCGGCAGCAGCAGCAGCGGCCAGAGCAGCAGGAGGAGCCCCGGGAGGCGGCGCGCGGGGGCCGGGCGCGGCATGGTGGGCTCGGCGGGCCTGGCGTTGTCCGTCGGGGGCCGGGAGCCCACGCAAGGCGCCGATTTAAAGGTCCCGCGGCCTCGGGCCCCGCCCGCCACGCCATGCCACGCCCGCCCTGGGGCCTCGAGCGCCAGGCGGGCCCAGGGAACCCCGCCCAAGGCCAACAAGGAGCCTTGTCCGCGCATTCCAGCGGCAGAAACGGAATGTCCGGGCGAGGCGGCCAGCGGCGAGGTGGTCACCTCCTGCCCCTGCCCTGCGCCCCGAGCCGGCAGCAGCTGGGTGGGCTCGGCTGCCGTCGCAGCCTCAGTCCTCCCAGTCACACCGGGGCGGGGCGCACCCATCCGCGGCCGCAGCCTGCCTTGCCCTCCGCTCTCTCACCCACCCTGGCGGGGCCTGCGCCCCAGGCCCGGGATGGGGAGCCCTGGACTCTGCCTGCCCTTCCGCCCCTGCTTCGCCCGCCTGGGGCTGAAGGTGAAACCCTGCTCCTCGCTCTACATTCCTTTCCTCAGACGAGTAACTCAAGTTTTGCTGTGGGCTCTTGGTTTAAAAAAAAAAAAAAAGAAAGAAAAGGCCTCACAGATTCTAGGGGCATGAATAGAAACGCTTTCATCCTAGCTTCAAATATCCACAGACATTTGAACTTATATTACCGGGAAAAGAAAGTCAAACACACATTCCCCAGAGAGCCCGGTTAGCTGGAAGGACAGCCTGCACCAACACAGGCTTCAAAGGCTCTCCCTAGACCCCATTTCCTCTCCGGAAGGGTTACCGTGGTGCAGGGCTGGAGGCTGCCAGGGGACCCCCAAGGAGCTCAGTGTCTATGGGAAGGAGATACGCATAAATGCAGTGCCTATCTATGGGAACGTGGTGGATTTAGGAAAGAGACACTGGCTGCCTGCCGAGACCAGGTGACATTTGAGCCGTCTTAAAACATGACAGTGAGCTCATCTGATCGTCCTATTTCATTATTTACCCTCTACAAGCCATCCTCCAGGCAGGATCCTAAACCTCGCTTCTCATATTTGCACCCCATGTTGGTAGCAGCATTATACACAATAGCCAAGAGGCGGCAGCAACCCAAGTGTCTCTCTCTGTATCAATGGAAAAGCAAAATGCGGTTATCTATGTACAATGGAATACTATTCAGCCTTAAAAGGGAGGAAATTTTGGCACATGCTACAACATGGATGAACCTTGAGGATATTACGTTAAGTGAGATAAGCTAGTCACAAAAGACATATGATTCCATTTACATGGGGAATCTAGAGTAGTCAATTCATAGAGACAGAATGAATGACGGTTACCAGGAGCTGGGGGGAAGTGGGGATGGGGAGTTGTATAATGTATCAACGACACTGGGAAGTGATAGTCACGCCGAGGGAAACCATCACTCGACTCTCAGTGAGAACTCACCAATTTAGAAGGACCTTAGGAGAAACGAGAAGTTTGTAATAATGGGAAGAGGACACTAAGAAATTTGAAAGAAGCTATGCCAAGAAGAGAAGAGACTGGTAAACACAGTATTTGCAAGCTCTGGTGGACATTTGTCATTTGTCTTGCTTTTAGGATGATCCCCAAAGCCTTTGAACCCTGCATTAGTCAAGGTTCTTGAGAGAAACAAAACCAATAGATTTTATATATACATACATATAGAGAGAGGGTGGGGGGAGAGATGGAGATTATGAGAGATTGGCTCATGCGATTATGAAGGCTAAGAAGTCCCACCACCTGCTCTCTGTAAGCTGGGGGCCCAGGAAAGCCAATAGTGTAATCCAGTCCAAGCCTGAAGGCCCAAGAGCAAGGGAGCCAATGACTTAAGTCCCAGTCTGAGTCCAGAAACCCAAGAACCAGGAGTGCTGAAGTCCAAGGACAGGAGAAGCTGGTTGGCCTAGCTCAAGCAGAAAACACATTTGTCCTTCCTCTGTCTTTTTGCTCTATTCAGGCCGGCAACAGATTGGATGATGCCCACTCCACTCACATTGGTGAAGATGATAGTCTTTCCTCAGCCTACTGATTCGAATGCCAGTCTCTTCCAGAAACATCCTCACAGACACATCCAGAAATAATGTTTAATAGCTAGCTGGGCATCCATTAGCCCAGTCAAGTCAACACATTAAAATTCACCATCACAAATACGTTCCCAAATTTAGGGATTTCCAACTTCATGAGTCAGCACCTTCTCAAGTTGACTCCAATAACTTGCTTCCCCAGCATCGCTTGCAGCTAGGATGTACATAAGTGGCCCAGACTTCATTGGTCATATGTAGCGTCTGTGCCAAGCAGCAGTGACTCTATGTCTCCCATAGAGCAAACCTGCAATATGATTTTGGGAATGGTTGATAACTGTGTGGCTTCCAAGCTTGATTCTTACACCTTTCCAGAAATAATTTGAACCACTTAATATCCAGTGCTACATATGGGTGGTGGAGGTGTACATTGCACAATTTCACAGGGGCACTATTCACATTCATAGTCAACACATATTGGTTACAACATTTGGAAATCCACTTCAACTGGGCAGTGGCATTTATTGAGGAATGGTTGGCTTTTCCATTTGCACTTTGAGCTGGTAGTGGGGCAAATAATGTCCTCAATGTATACTTTTTCTGTTTATTCTTTATTACTATTATTACAGTTATTATAAATAGGGTCTCATTCTGTCACCCAGGCTGGAGTGCAGTGGTGCCATCAGAACTCACTGCAACCTCAACCTTCTGGGCTGTTGGAATCCTCCAGGCTCAAGCAATCTTCCTTCCTCAGCCTCCCAAGTAGCTGGGACCACAGGTGTGCACCACCATCCCAACTATTTATTATTATTTTTATTATTTGTAGATACAGGGTCTAATTATGTTGCCCAGGCTGATTTGCAACTCCTGGGCTCAAGTGATCCTCCCACCTCAATTTGCCAAAGTGCTGGGATTACATACGTGAACCACTACGATTAGCCTCTTTTTTGGCTCATTCTAGCAGGAATGGGTTCTGTTTGCAATTAACAACGAGGATATTTAGTCTTATGATTTTTCCTATTGCATACCACTGGGGGGCACTGTTTCAAGCAGCTCAAAATAAAAATTTCAGCTCCCAAGCGAATGTTCCTACACATTACTTGTCAGTCACTCAAGACAGTTTCAGATGCTGGTATATGGAAGTTATGCCATCTTGAATGAAATAGAAATTGCCTGATAAGCTTGTCTCTCCAGAGTTCACACTCCAGGGCAGTTGTCTTACATCTGACACCCAAAGATTGTAAAATAAAACAAAGGTAGCTCTTCTGACAGAGGGATTCAGGTGGCCACAGGGCTTTCTTGCCTGTCACCAACTCAACTGGCTGCTGGCCCAGGTGGTATCTTCGCTTTCAGGTGTAAAAGCTACATTTCTCTACCACTGCATATTATCTACTACTTTGTCAAGATAAAGACTAAAATAATTTTTGATAACCTAAAGATTTAGATCATAAAAGAGCCAAACAAAGGTTTTTTTAACTATTCAAAAACTTTAAAAAATGCAATTAATAAAGATTTATATATACACTTTACATTGTTTTTAGAATGTTACTATGTTTAAAATAGGTAATACATACACTTGGTCTAAACTTTGAATAGTGAAAAAAAAAAAAAACGACCAAATGTTAGGATCACTTTCAACTTTGCATCACTTCTTATAAGCAAAAACATTCAATGTGTTGGTAGAATTATTTTTCTCACAACTAGGTTTTCAAAGTAAAATAAGACTTGGAAGCTACTTAAGGAACCAGTTTACTCCTGCTTTGCTGCCCTTAATGTGTGAATTTTGTTCTCAAGCCTGCTAGACTTCCAAGTATCACGTTGGCATTCCAGGACAAGGGAAGAGGGAAGGCCAAAGATCGAAGGACAGAGATTTTCTGCTGACATCGCATGCCCACGCCTGGCCACAAGGGAGTCTTGGAAGGTAAGTTTTCAGCTTTTTTAATCCACACTGAAGAAAGCAAAAGAAAACATGGATTGGAATGGGAGTTGACAGCTAACCTGTGGCATATGCTACAGGTGTACAGAGAAAAGGAACTATCCCAACCATCTGTGCCCCACTGTGGTGACACCACTGTTGCCAATGTCTTGAATGTGCATAGACTTGTAGGTATAAACGTTGAAAAATACATTCTCAGCAAACTGACACAAGAGCAGAAAATCAAACACCGCTTGTTCTCACTCATAGGCCGGTGTTGAACAATGAGAACACATGGACACAGGGAGGGGAGCACTACACACTGGGGTCTGTTGGGGGGAAATAGGGGAGGGACAGAGGGGGTGGGGAGTTGGGGAGAGATAGCATGGGGAGAAATGCCAGATATAGGTGAAGGGGAGGAAGGCAGCAAATCACACTGCCATCTGTGTGTACCTATGCAACAAACTTGCATGTTCTTCACATATACTCCAAAACCTAAAATGCAATTTAAAAAAAAGAAAAATACGTGTGCAGACATCCACTGTTCTGTTGAAAGAAGACATATTTTCCAACTTTAGACCAAAAAAGTCTACCCCCAAACAAGTTGAAAAGGTCTTTGATTCCATGGATGCATTGGAGAAAATGTTGTCAAAAGATGTCCCAGGGCTTCTTAAATCTGATCAAGAAAATGACAGACCATGGACTTGGAGAAAAACTTTTTGTTTTGTTTTCAAAACACTCTCAATCCCAAAGTGGAAGTCTTTTCCCGAAGTATAGAACTCTTTACCTGCATATGCTTCTTGCAACCAACACTTGAAAAAACCAAGCAATTGTGAAAAATGAATGTGTTCAATGGCCTACAAGTTGTATTGCCATCTTTGTTTTTTAATTGCCACAGGGATCAAGATAGTACGAATTATGGATTGGTACTACCCACTGATATTTATTTTATTAAATCAATGTTTCTAGACTAGGTGTCATAGCTTATGCCTATAATCCCAGCACTTTGGGAGGTGGGAGGATTGCTTGAGCTCAGGGAGTTCAAGGCCACCCTGGGCAACACAGTGAGACTCCATCTTTACGAAAAAATTTGTTGTTAAATTAGC